CAGTGTTTGACAGTCTTTATGGGTCTGCTAAAATCACGTTGCTCTGACTCCATCACAGAATTCCTAAATCTGCTGCTCACACACACGTGAGGCGTTCAGAAATCAAAGGGAGGGAAGAAAGAGGCCTGACATTAACACAGGGATTTAGTCACCAAAGTGAAAGAGAGGATCTACAAATTATGTAACGGCAGTCTTTAATCTCAGCTACCAAATCAATCTTCAAATGTTTGACAGCTTTAAAGCTGCAAACAAATTTGGTACAAAGTTCTTACATTATTATTACATGATCGCTCTTTTCCAGTTACGACCGACTGACAAGGCACAAAGTCTTAGCTGTGATAAAAGCGCTGTAAAAAATAATATCCCATAAGTGATAATGTTTTACGGTTAATATAACGTTATCCAAAAGACACTGTGGAGATTTAATTTCTGTAACTGTGGTTTTGGGTTTCCACAATTAAACTAATAAAACACTTGCACTCATGACAGGACGATCTGAACCAAATTCCTTCCCAGCACCGAAGGAAACATCCAGTAATATCACTGAGGTAAAACGTTTAATGTTGTATTTGCAGCTGTGCTTGGCATTAGAAGATTGTCAAATACCCACACTGTTTTTTTTTTTTTTTTTTAAATTAAGTATCACAGTATATATTAATGCCTGATGTACAAACAAAAGAAATTAAAAATATTAAATTTAGATTTTATTTATTTATATTTAGACTCTAGATTTGCTGACATAGCCGGAGTCACAACAGTCGCGTAGTTTAAGATTGTTGTAGCTCAAGGCGGCTCATATAGAAGCTATAATTTATGTTTGTTTAACTTAAACTAACCTTATTGTGCACGTTGTAACAACCAAGAATTGGTGTTGAATCCCTAAAATCAAAGCATTGGCATAAAGACTAGAAGCAACAGCTACAGTAGCTTGGCTCTTTTCAAAGTTCAGTGCTTACCAGCTCATCTAAACCTCATCAGTTAATTAATTTACCTATCTATAATCTTTTTTTGCTCCAATTGTACAAAATTAAACATGTACAAACAAGTTCTGGTCTTAAAGGGAGTTATGTGCCAGTAAGATAGCAGGCTAGTCATTTCCCCTGCTCCCAGTCTTTATGCTAAACTTCCAAGGGCAATAAATTTGCCTTACTCAGAAATGTTTTTGATTTCGTCTGCATGCAGACTGCTGTGGATTGTGATCTTTAATCTGTAATATTACAGATCACAGCTCTAGATTAAACTTTACATCACATTATGGTGGAGGTCAAAGGTGTAAATCTTTGAATGTTACACAACAGTTTAACCACAACTGTTTATTTAAACAAGTTAAATACATTTTTAAAGGAGCTATTTGTAAGTTTTGCCATTGCTACATTGCTAACATTAGCATTAATGGCTGTTTACTTAGCAGTCAAGCATTTTGAGTTCAGCATCAAACTTCATTCCTTTCCTCACCAAGAGCTCTCTCCTTGTTTCTATGACGTATTTTCTTCTACTGAAGTTAGCTTGCAAACCAGCTGGCCCCGGCACGCCATGTCACTTTCCAATAGCGGCTCACCCGTAGCCTCCAGTCTGCCCTGAAGATGTAGAGCTGCTCAGAGAGTATCAACCTCTCGTGTCATAAAGACATTAATGGCAGAAGCTCTTGTCAAGTAACAAAAACAGTAACAATCACCACCACCCGCTCCCAGCAAGAAACCACATTCGGCAGCAGAGAAAACTTACAAATAGCCTCTTTAATAATACCAACAACACAACATAATGAAGTGCTGACTGTCATTCTTGTTTTTCATTATTTATGTGATTCAATCATTCTAATCCCAGACAGAAAATATTTATTTTGTTGAACAGATTATTGTTGCATTGACAAAAAGGGTTTTCTTTGACGTTACTTTTGGGGGAATATTTTCATTTTATCCACAAACTGTTTCAATTCACCAATGACACAGATGAATGACCAGTAATATTTGTACTTTCATTTTCAAATTGGTCTTTTGTGTAAGAGGTTCTGTATTATTTCACTTTGCAAATGTACTATTTTTCTTTGTTTCTTTATATTTTACTTTATCCAACAGGAACAGAAGCAGATTATATTCATAATAATCAATAAAAAAAAAAAAAAAGATCAAATCTGTTCCAGCTAAAAATCAGATTTTGTGTCCAATAAGAAAGATGGAGCAGATGGAGGGTATTTTCACTTACGCCTCTTTCAGGAGGCTAAATGTTTTACAAGCACCATAAATATGCGGCACTAAAACGGGACGTAGGTGCACTTTAAAATTCAGAAACAAGATCCTTGAGAGCAGTGTGTAGTTCTGTGCTGTTGCATTTATAAACAGAAGTCATAAAAGTGACATGTGACATATGGAAGAGTGAGAAGGACCTTTACAGTACTGCACTACCATTTCATTTATATTATTACAGTCATCACCTTTGATTGCTACTGAGAAGCATGCAGCACTGTGCCTTCATCATTTTGCCCCATACCTACAGGAAAGCAGTGTTAAATATCCAAATTACTCTCACTTCTTTGATTTGAACACAGAACTATTTTTGTGGTCAGCTCTACAAAGCTGCCTGGTTATAAATCCCTGCACACAAACATATGTGTATATATATATATACATACATATGCACAGATTATATTGCAATGTTTAGATTCTTAAGAGAGAGAAGAGTTTGGACTCTGTGTTTAAGGTTTCATGTAATATGCACATGCCTCCATGTTCACACGTCATGTGATGAGAAATGTAACTATTTCAAGCACAATGGGAACTTTGTTATGAACTGTGACATACTGTGCTATTCATAATAAATATTTTATACATACTGTACCCTGTCTGTTCTCTATAGGCGCCGTGCAGCATCCGTTCTGACCTGTGAGAATTGTCAGTCTTTGCGTGTTAGCTCCTCCGCCGGTGATGAGGGCACTTCGAGAAAGTGTTTGTCAGCAGGTGTTTTCTCCTGCTGATCATCTTACGTCAGATAAACCTCACAGTTTTATGCTCATTTAAGAGGATTCCTCGCTGACCCCCACTCACATTGATCCTCCTTAATGCCACAGATGTGATAATCCCAAGAACAGTAATCAGCTAATGGAAACAGAACCGAAGGCTCCAGATTACACAGTACTTATATTGTTTCCTGACAAAATACCTTGTATTATACGACTATTTATTCACCACTCATCAACATATGAACTACAGACCTGTACAGATAAGATGGATTACTGATTGATAAACTTAATTTATAAACCTAGGGAACAATCGATTGTTGCTGCAGGACATTAAAGAGAGAACTAGAGGCAACATGAGTTTTATATCGATGATGAATTTCAGTGATTACACTCCTGACAAGTTCAAATCCACTCATTCTTAAACTAATCTTCTTGGACACCTCAAGCTGATTTCCTTATTGTGCACTGTGAATATTAAGAGGATCAAATTGTTCTTGCAACATCACACTTTCTAAGCTCAAAAGACACAAAAAAGCACGGATAAGCTTTTTAAAGCAGCTTTATGCTAATTCCCAGAACAGTTTACCTTTTAAAACTGCTGACAAACTAGTGAACCCTTACACAGTAAATTATTCAAGGCAGATGCCAGCACTTTCAAGAATGTATCTCCAATAACTAAACTGAGAGAAACTAAACTGTTACTCATTGGTCAAACTTTTTGAAGTTTAAAGATTTTTTCTCCAATTACATCAATTCATCAAACCGATCATCCCAGTCCTTGTATCAACAGACAGCATCAACCAGATGATCTTAAATAGTGATTATTGTCATGATAGTTTAAGCCGCTGTTTATTTTCTTTATAAAATGTTAAAATACAGCGAATGTCCATCACAATTTTCCAGATTCTTGTTTTGTCCAACAAACCTAAAGATGTTCAGTTTACGACAAAGTACAGAAACTCCTCACATTTCACCAGAGAAGGTTCAACAGTTTTACTTAATGAGTAATTATTTATTCATTTTATGTCAATTGACTAATTGGTTATTCTTTTACTAAAGCTAGTTTTATGTAAAAACCTCAGCCTTCATTGACCATGAACTTTCACATTGAACTCCGACCTCCATAGTGTGGTGATTTTCATGTTGTTGGGATATGATGATGCTTTCCAACAAACGTCTTCTACCTCCAGAAAATTCCAGTGATATTCTATATTTTACTTGTCAACAACAAATCCAATGAAAAGAAAAAAAAAAAAACTGAATCAACAAAACAGCAAATTGAAACTACAAATTCAATACTGTCTATGTATCCAGAGCCTGATGCATCTAATTCCTCTGTGCCATAAAGATCCACTATTAAAAACTGAGCCACATTGTCACACTGGCAAACAGTCTCATTCATTAGTATGAACATGGGCACTGTGGTTTAACTTTTTACACTGTCCTGCTGCTGTAAATACTCACCACTAGAACATTTATGTATTAATTCGCTGCACAAAATAGTCCTCAAGAAAAGCGTTATTTACTCTTACACTGTTTTAGGAAATAACATAAACTATATATTTTTGACCCATTTTTAAAGATTTACATTTTAAGTTTGCAAATGGATTTGAGGCTGAGAGTGTGGGGGAAGTCAGAAATCATTTAGACACAGACCAACACATTGTTGATTTCGGTTTGTTAATGGGATTTGTTGAAGAATAAAGAACAGCATCAGACACCGGACTACTCCAAGAACTCCTTCGAACTTCTCTGCTAAAATAAGTCTTTCTGTAATACTTTCTGAAAAGTTTACAGTGTTTTTTGGAGGAGTTTTACGAGTTGATTTAAGATAGGTTGAAGGAGTTTCTCAATCAGTGGGGGAGCAGTTTAACTGCTTCATCATATCCAAAAACACTGCACAGCTGAATGTCCATATTTTGCTGACATGCATGTAGCAGGCACAGACTGTATATGGTTTCAGCAGGGACACTGAGGCTCATTGCATCACGACCAGCATCTATTATAAAATGGATGGAGAAATGGATTTTTGTAATCATGTAACTAGACATACAAAGTTTTAATCCAAACACGACAACTGGTTCTGAATTTGGTTGACGTTTTGAAGGTACAAGGTGATACATAACAACACATAAAAAAGTAAACCATATTGTTTTTGTTCTTGCTTTCCTCTACATTCCAGTGTAACTTTGTCGACTTGAAAGCTAGTGTGTAGTCGCTCTACAGCTTTTTAGCAATGCATCTACTAATACTAGTGTCATTCTACAGGGAAATAATGACATTGATCAGGTTCCTGCTGCTCTAATCAGTCTTCTGTCTATTGACAACCTCTGAATACGCACCTGTTTTTGTGGCGAGCTAAGGGAGGATAGTAAATGTGAAATTAGCATTTCTCCAGCTTTCTGCACCGCTGAGCAATACCTTATCAGTCATATAACCGTGACAGATTCAAGGTCCATATTTTCCTTTACAGTTTCTTAGAATAACAGTGATTCACTGCAGCTTAATGGGTAGAAAACATGCCAAGGCAGAATATGACTTATATAGCAACTGCCCTTATTTTATAGCATCACTTTCATTCTATTACAGTTAATGTGCACTTAAATTTTCCATGGTGTATATAAAAATCTCTCCTTGGAAAGAATCAACACTGATCCTTTAAGTCTTAGCGTGCAGACAGATTTTGCCCGGTTCCTGCAGGTCGTGGAAAGTGGCTGCTCAGCTGCACTTCAGCCGGGTTAGGACAGGTTCAGTGGCCATGAGCCAGACTCGCCACAGAGACGCGGGGTGGTGGAAACGAGGCAGTGGACTCAGCAGGTTGTTCTGGTTGTCCGGCAGCACAGATTCTCACTCTGTTAATAAAGTCAAGGTGACTCATGGCGGGCGAGAAGTCCTCTCTAGTCCAATCTGTGCAAAGCAGTAGAGGAAGGCCAGCATAGGTGGGGCCGTGGTCGACCAGCCTGAAATGAAAAGAAAACTGATATACTCATCTGTAACAGGGAATATTCAGATTTACAGAAAGGTTCCTATGTTATGTACCGAGACTTGCATTCTTTTAAAAGCTCTAAAGAGACAGAGAGTAATAGTTTGGTCAGTTCTCTCTGCTGTACTGTGTTGTGTTACGGTTATTTTCTTTTTCTATTTATAGCTGCTTCTTAGAGGGTCGAGCCGGCAGGTAAGGACAGCTGTCTGCACCTCCTCCCCAACTGGCGTGGCTCCAGATTATCTCAGTAACCCGCACCTGCACCCACAATGCTCTTCAATGGTCTATTCTTTTCTATTCATGTCAAAATCTAATTCACATACACACATGCTGCTTTATGCACAGCTGTACTGTCAGTTTCCTGTCTGCAGAAGAGAAAGGTGACGTGTGTTAAGGCTTGCAAAGCCATATTTTGATGATAAATATTTTTATGGTATGTTGAAGTGAAGTGAAGTGAAGTTTTGTGCGGTTTGGAAATAAGCATTATTTTATTGTTCGCGTTTGCCTTTAAAAACAGCCTTGATGATGTTTCCAGTCCATGCGAGGTAATTGTTAATCACATAAGACATGTGAATCATTTTCAAGCACACTTTTTGAATATTATGTAAATGAATCATTCAAAGCATTTTACCCTGCGTGCACCATGAGCAAGCCTGCAGTCGTACCAAGACGTCCCAGTGTTTTGTCTTTGCAGGTATGTACATTTCATTAACACCCTCAGTGTGAAACATATTTCCTAAACAGTCATCCAACCGTTGCAGAAGACAAGCAAACACCACTAGCCAAATGTTATTAAGAGGCAAAGCTACTAATTACTAAGCCTTGGTAAAGAGCTGGAGAGTGGAAGATCTTAAAACCTATTTCCTCCAGTTGCCTGTTACTATGGCTCTAATCAAACAGTGCTGTAATTACACCAGTTTCTTTTGCCACTTGATTAGCAGAGTGTGTCTAGTTCAAATGAGGTGAAAAAGGCCACTGGCAGAGAGGCAGCTCAAGACTAAATATAAAGCTGATTAGTGATCAGAAGGACTGCCCCGCTCAGTAAAGTAGAGACTGACAACTTGTAGGTTTAGCTCTGATATTGTTAGACGGGCAGAAACTAGGAACAACTCGTGGGTTTTACAGAATAATACAGCGAGACTGAGCTTTATTTCAGCCTTGCTAGTGGCATCGCTCGAGGAATGGCAGCGTCTTTCTGATGGTCCAGAAATATCTCAATATTGGATGGACTGGCATGAAATCTGCTGAAGGTAGTCACGGTACCCAGAGAATGAATCCTACCAACACTGGTGATCCCCAGACTTTTGATTGTTTGGTCTAAAAAACATCAGAAAATAATGAAAAATGAAGATAAGAATTTCCCAGAGCCCGAGATGATGTCTTCAAGTAACTTTTTCCATTTGAGCAATAACGAAAACCAGAAGATATTTAGTTTACTGTAACTTTACACTAGAGTAAACGGAAAGTCGTCTCACAGGAGAAGCTGCAACAATAAAATATTTGGATTTTGATTAAAAATGGACATAATTCATTGATTATCAAAATACTTAACGATCACTGTCAACTAATTAATTCATTAATCATTTCACTTTCTCAGTGCCGACTAATATAAAGTAGAAGTACTGATTGATGACATAGTTTGGAGACGAGGAGTTTTAAGTGACTTATTCATTTGAACCATAACCATTTCATTTTCATTGCAGCCATTATAATTTAATGGGATGATTAATATTATTGAACTAATATGAAGCACTGTGTCTACTGGTATGTTACATTCTCAGGACCATGACTTCAGAGTGATCAGTGGCCACTTACACTTACATTCTCAATATACATATACAGCTATAGACACACAGTGTGATGAGGAATTTGTTTTTCAGCAGAGGTCAGAGTGCAATTACGCTACTGCTTGCACTTGTAAAAATCCCAGACAGGCTGATTTAGAAGCATTGATTTCATGTTAATGAAGCAAACCGCAACTCCCCCCTCGGTGATTTATTACGCAGACATCACAGACATAAGTAATGGCTTCAGGCATTTCTGGTGGATCCATTATACCTCAATTTAAAGTACAAAAACACAATTACTCAGTGGAAGCGACAACATTATGAAGTTGGGTATTCAAAGGTCTATTTAAAATCATGCATTGCCAAGTTTTATCTTTATTTTTAGAACTTTAATGGTCCGAATGAATCGCCGTAAAAGCAAACTGAGATTCCCTGTTAGTTTCTAGTTCTTACTTTGAATAATTCACAACAGAAATGTTTTTTTTTCAAGCACGCTGTTCTTATTTTTAGGTTTCTGTTAACTTATTTACACCCGGGCTACAGTATTGTGTGTGTGAAAGGGGTCAGGAGTGCTAGAGGAAGCATAGTATTTCGCACCATTTGCTGTGAGCCTGCCAGGCTTCCCACAAATGATCACTGTCACAATAAAGCCTAACTGGTGACTAGAATATGACCTTCGTCAGGCAGCAGATGTTTGATGAACCCACTGTGCTCTACCTGCCCGGCAGAAAACAGCTCACAGACAAAGTTAGCGCCTAGCAGGTGACCACAGTTGAGCATTTAGCAGCTAAAGAGCCGGATAATTCCCTCAGGATTTGGTGAGACAGAGAAAGAGACACAGGGAAAGTGAATTATGTGCCAGAAACACAACTTCAAATAAAAGCTAAAGTTGCCCTGTCTCAGCTCAGTGGTAAATAGGCAACTGTTTGTTAACATGTAACACTAGTACCTAGTACTAGTGACTTTATAAGATGTCAGTGTTGTGTTTACAGCTTGTAAACACAACAGCTTGTTCTGCTGCCTCTAAGTGGCAAAAACTCAATTACTGGTGCTTTAAAAATGAGTAAACCATGCATTCTAATTCAGCATGAATTAACAGTGCTTATTAATAAATTATATGAGTTATATGATGTTGTATCAACACCAGGCTGAGCTCTCAGCGCTGACTCTGCAGCAAAGTGAAGCTCAGACTGCTTATCATGTGTGGACAGGCTTGTGGAGAGCCTGCCATCTTGCTTTAGGTACCAAATGAGGCAAATAAAGACACAGGGAGCAAAACAGGGACTGGCACAACCATGAAGCAGATGTTTCTCTATTTGGGAGAGTTTGCCCAAACAGATGCTGAAAATGCCCCAGTAATGACCGCTGCCTCACTCATCCACTGAAAATACTGCTAAATATACAGACCTACTGAACGGCAGCATTTTTAATCACTGCATTATATTTTATTTATGATTTTATTTTCAGCCTATGTGAGCCGCCCCCTCTGTTGCTTTGGACATACTATGTTTAGCTGGAGGGAGCATCTGTGATGTCCTACAGTTCAGCATAATGTCTAATGCTCCACGCATTTATAAATGCCAGCTGAAAATAAAGCAAAAATAAAAAGCACACACAAATTCCTATTGAGTGAGTGCTGAGGACGGCAATTTACCTTGAATGAAGACACGCTTCCAGAAGATTCTGCCAACATGTATCCCCCCAAGAAACACAAGATTAGAGAGGATGAGCATGGCAGTGGAGAAGGCAGAGAGAAAGGCGATGGAACGCCTTTTCATCGCCGGAGAGAAATTCTGCTCCTGGGAAATCAGTAAATAAATAAGTAAATTGCAGGAGGACCACTAGAGATTTTCATTGTAAATCGGAAAACACAAAGAACACCAAAGCACCTGGCTTTAATGAACTGTGTGACCATAAACTAGGTGGATTACACAGTACGCCATTAGATTTGATTTCTATTTTAAGAACACAAACCTTCTCGCCAAGGCTAGAGGCCAAAAAAGCAAAAGCAGCCTGAATGAATCTATTGTTAATGTATTGGAAACAGACTCTTCACTGTGACAATTAGATGTAGGGATGGGAATCCAGAGCCGGTTCCAGTAAAGAACCTGTTCCAAAATGTCCAAACTATTGGAATTGTTTGTCTTATCTTAGCTTATCAATTCCTGTTATCGATGCCACACAGAAAATTGATCAGGAATCAAAAAAATTGGACCAATAAGCAGAATCCATAATGGCATTGGTATCAATAAAATCTTATTAATTCCCATCCCTAATTAGATGTGACAGAATCCTCGGGGCATTCTCTTATTAAATCAGATTATGTGACCCCATCATGTCGGCACATCTTAACCGAACATCCAGTCAATAGAATAACCAGGGAATTTGATCCATATACAGTTTTGCTTGGATTTCAAACTTACAACAGTGGAGTGAATCAAGGGTGAAGCAAAGAGAGACTTCACTCCGTTTTCCACCAGAACTCCCGCCCAGTTCATCAGGGCCCAGTACTGTAAGTAGTCATGGCCGCCGTGCCACAGACAGACGAATCCGAACGCAAGGCCAGTGGATAACAACTTGTAATGAGGGCCGTGTCGTGAACCTCCCAACGGCACATAGATGTATCTGAAACACGAGCACAGACATAGTAAAAAAAAAAAAGGACTTCAATGCTGTTAGAAATAATAAATAAAGTCTTACACTTGTTTAAAGGAGATTATAACCTGTCCAAGTCAAAGAAAAGCAGTGAAAGAAAATGACAGACAGGCAATATAGTGAATTATTCGTCTTTAGCAGGACAGGGATATATCGCAGCCACTGAATAGTGCAGATGTAAAACAAAAGAGGAGAGAAAATGGCACCACAATGCACCAATGAATTGCAAAGAACACCTGTCACAGAAATGATCATGTCATATTCATTGATTTTTAATCAAGTAAACGTTGCTCTGACGTCCAATGTAAAAAAATAGACAGATTGAGGACCGACAGTTAAATGAAAGTAAATATCAACCACATAACTCACGCATGTGAATTTACAGTGGTTTAAATGAGATTACATCATACGCGGTATAAAGCTGTATATTCAACTAGCCCACTTGATGTGAATAATATCCCTCCAATCAGTAAAGAGTCTGGCACATGTCGTGAAGAGAAATGGTCTCAGATACTGTGAGAACCTCGTCTGTCCCAGAGGGGCCGACAGTCTCAACATGCTACATCAGTCCAACGCACGTAGAAACAAACATCACATTCTATCTGGTGTTGCTGAGCTGGGAACTAATTATCTCAGCCACCCTGTGGCTAATCAATGTTCCTGAAAGATGAGCCAGCATTTTCTGAGCCTTAAATAGAGTGGCCAGCTTGGCCATATTGGAAGATGAAAGTGGGTGCAAAAGCAGATGGAGAGGTACCAGTGTTAGAGCCAGAGCAAACTGAATACCTAAACATGCGGAGTATCTATCCATCTGGTCAAATTATTTAAATGTAAACGGGTTTAAAACAGATGTCAATCAAAATATGATCATTTTGAGATATACATTAATACCTGAATAACGTGTATAACAATGTGTTGTGTAATGCCTGACTACTGCGAGCTGATGGTGGATGGAACAACAACAGCCTTTACAGAGTGACAATAGGAATTAGAAAGTCCGGCAACTTTTATTGTTGTTTCCTGAGCTCTCATACAGATACACAGTTTACATGATCTTTCTTGCTTTAAGTCCAATTGGAGCCAAATTTGAATGATGACCTCTACCCAAGCCAGTCCATGCCCCCACTTACTTACTTAAAACTAGTGTATCCCAGGATTTGGGATCAAACACTCCTTCTCATACACAGCTGCAATAACATCATTAAAAAAAACACTGAGAGCTCTTTTGTTGGCCAGTAACTGTATATGTGTGTGAAACAGAGAACCTGAGACACACGGCGGTGTACAGGAAGGGGAAAGCGTAGTGGAATGGCAAAGAATGAGCCACTTAGCTGCCCAGGGAGACAGGGTGTCAGTGAATCATGTGGAGCACATCATTTAACACCTACGCACTCATCTAGCCCTCTTCAGACAACTTCAACAGAATTTCAGAACTGCATTAAAACCTCTTTAAAAGCACTTTCACAAGAAGGAACGTCGGGGCATTATGTCATGGGTATCATTTTGCATCTGCAGTAGGATAATTGCAAGCGATGCCATTAAGCAGGAGAAAACAATTTCCAATGAACACAGATTAAAATAGAAAGTTGCATTTGCAATTTAAATTCTAGGATCTTGAGCAAATTAATTGGAGCCACTGCCTGCTATGCTGTATTTCATTTTAAACTCATCTTTAACATTTGAAAAGCAGATGCACATGTATAACATCAAACGTGACAAAACAGAAGAAAACAACCAGACAACACAAATATTAATTAGCAAACAATAACCAAGACAAGGGAACATTTTCGCAGAATATCTCTGACAACCGTGCAACTCTAGCGTTGCCTTAATGTAGCAACTTGCATCTACCAAGCGGACCATAAACTCTCAATAGGCTGCATTCAGCCAAGTGTGCATCATTAGCAGACGAGCTAATAGTGTGCGCTGTCCAAACTACAAGTGAGCAAACACATAATGCTCCCATTACATATGCACATATTAAACAAGACGGCATTTCTCCGGGGTGCAGGAACAGTAACACAACAGAGGAACTATTCACCAACAACATGCAACCTCATAATCATGAGAAAGCCTACATGCAAATGCAGCATCCTTGTCCATTGTGATGACACACACTGGCAGGCAGCTGGAGAATGGCACCTTTTTTTCTTTTTTTTTAAGATATTCAACTGACAAGTTCAATACCCCACAGGAAATGAGCTCTTCGCAGTAAGTGTGCAATAAATAACAGATACAGTATGATTAAACACACACTGTTCCAAATATTAGAAATATAAGATAAGATAGATAGGTATCATTTGATTTTTATTAAATGACATTTCACACTTTTAGTGCACATTAACATCTGAATTAGTCTGTCCACCGCTCATGAAGTGCCTCTTACCTGATGAGCCATCGATACAGCCCCTCATCAAAGTGCCTGAGAGTGAACAAAAAAATAAAGAATATTTGAGTCACAAATTTACATAATAATGTAGCACTAACACCTGAGCACTGGGCTTCATATAAACTGAGGCATGTGCAGTCTGTATGATGCATGTGTGTTTGTGTGCTCGCGCTCTGTCATTAAGAAGATTAGAAAAGGCGTTTTTCTTTTTTTATTTGCTCTGTCTGTCTATAAACTGGAGCTGTTTACTCAGTGATGTCGGTGGACAGCTTTATGCATTCCATCAATGTTGTCAACATTGGCCAGCTCAGCACACACAGGCTGGGTTGGAGTGCGTCAGTGTCAGCACATTGATGGCCGAGCTAGGCTACAGGCGATGCATTTTTACAGCAAAACCAAAAACACAGACCTACATCTCAACTTTATGTTATGCTCAGTATGAAGGCAGCATTTTCTCACTGTTATTTACATCGAGGAAGAGAGTGACACTGCTAATTTTACGGTTTTATTGTATATTATGAGGTTTGCATTTAATTGCATGTTTGTTCTGTTTAAACCTTGTTCAGACCCTCAGTTGTCAGTTTATTAGGTACATCGAGCTAAAATTAATGCAGCTTAACACAACACTCCTGCTATAAATCCTCCCTTTATGAAGGTTTTAATGTTCAGTTTGTATTGAAACTGTTTTAGAGAGATGTTAATTCAACTTTATGTTAGTGTTAGTATATTTGCCTCGCTTTACTTTAATTACTTTATTGCCTTATGCCTGCCCTTTGTAAAGCACTTTGTACATTCTGATTTTGATCAGGGCCATATAAATAAACTTTATTATCACTATCATTTTTGAGGCTACAGTTTGTGCTGCTGTGCAACTGTATTGCATTATACAGAGAGGCATTTCTCTTATTTAGCCTCCCCTTATTGATATAAATGAAGTGGACAGAATAATAGAAACACCTGTCAGTATAATGCAACTAGTTCAACGACACCACAACCTGCAGTCTCCAAAATGATCATTCAGTTGAATCAAGGCAGTTTAAACACAAACTGAACATTACAACCCTCATGAATGTAGGATTTATTGCAGGACTGTTGTATTACACTACATTATTGTGGGCTAAGTGCAGCTAATAAACTGGCAACTGAGTGTATGTTACAGCATATTTTGCAGCATATTTGTCCAGAAGTGGTTTGCATCCTGGAGGACCTTTAGCCTTTTTTTTTTTTTTTTTTAAATATGAAGTCTTACTGATTAAGGTGCTTTATCCCTGTGTAACAAACACTGCAACGAGTGTGTTCATTAATATGAGCAATTGTGACCCCTTCAGCATAAACCAGGCATAGTCCTTTCCTTTGCTTTGTAACAAAAGTGTTGAACGGGGTTAATAAATGAACCAGTTATAATGACATTTAATTTCATAATGTCCAATTTTTTGTGGAGGACAGAAATAACTCATTACTGAACTGAACCTGAAAAACAAAGTATCTTTCCTGTTTGGTGTAATTACTGGACTGCATAATATACTCATAAACTGGAAACTGTCAGATCACATTTAAAACTGACACACAGTTGTAACTTGCATTTTAGTTTTTGGTGATTTTTAAAATGCAGATGTGTTTGATTTTGTTTCATGAATTATATTTAGGACAGCTGCTACAAACCTGTTTTTATTTAGAGAGGAAAAAGGGAAAAGATTTGGTCTGCAAATACAGAATCAGTCCTAGTGAACAAACCATTTATCGTCTGAAAGAATGATATAATATTCCTGGTGCTGAGGTGACCTATTGTTCTGATTGCCAGTAATAATAGAAGATGAGACAATTCACTGTGCCCAGTCTGAATCTGATTGCCAAAGCACAGTGTGCACTCACAGCACTTCACATTACATGTACCTTTTCCTCAAGGATAGCAGGGATGCTAGCTTTACCAGTACCTGGAGTGTTGAGGAATTCTGGCCGCGAGACCAGTATAGTACTGTATTTATGTCAGTGGTGTTAACTGGCGTGGGTTCCGGTATATGATCTTACCTCCACATCCCTGTGAAACTGTACATGATGCTGACACAAGAAGGAAGCTTTGGGGGAACTAGTTTATCCACAGTAGCCAACATGGAGGGAAGGCCAAAGAGTACCAGGTACTTCACATAGAAGAACTGGACCAGGGCCAGGGCCAGACCGCCTGTGAAGCAGGGAGAAGGTTTTCCAACAAATATAGGACTCCAAGTGAAAGGGAGCATGTCAAATACAAACAAAATCACACATCAGAAAAACTGGATTATGACTCGTGAGCAATGACTGAGTCAGTAATCAGCATATCTGATGGGAGTTTTAGAACCAACTAAATCCCGTGGGGGTAAAATGTTTTGAAATTCTGCATCTTGAAAACATGTTGAGTGTGTCTGAGTGGCAGGGGAACATTAAATCTGAAATTATTCTGTGAATTAAAGCCAAAAATACATCTAGTGTAAAGACTTACCCAAGGCCCAAGGAGGAAGAATCTCTAAATAGGTCTCATTGGACTGGATGGAGTGCATGTACATTACATGGATCATGTATTCTGCAATGCACCACCACAGTATGATCCGTCCTGATCTGAGCACCAAGTAACTAAAAGCAGAATGGTCCCTGTCACTCTCCTCAGCAGACCTGCGCATCTGCAGGTGGAGAAAGTGAGCATGTTGTTAACGGGTCCTGGATGTATCACCACTACCAAAAGACCAAATAATGAACATGCACAATGAACATGTATATATCAAATCCAAAGATGGGTGTGAAAATGTTCACAAAGTGATGTGGAAGTGATCAGACATCAGACCAAATATAAGGTAGCTTTTTAGAAAATGTGACCTGAGAGATGACCTGCAGCAATCACCCTCCAGAATAAAAACAAAACAAGCTAATTTTCTTTTTTGCCAAAGTCTCTATTTCAGGAGTAACATCCGATGGCTCTTTTACCTGCTCAATGTAGTCTTTGTACGTGATAATGGGTCCATTGTAGAAAAAAGGATGATAGAAGGTGTATGAAAACAACCAGCAGAGCTGCACAAGTCCACCATGTTCAGTTGGGCACCAGCAATGCTCCAGACTGAAGCTGATGAAGCGTAGACCACAGACAGCAACACTGAAGAGCAGCAGATAGTACTCCTCCTCCGTCTTGTACCAGCCTCTCTGTGAAATACAGTGGGAAGGCCAATTATTTTAAGACATTTCTGGGGACTACTTATATAAATAGTGACAGTTTGACACTAAATTTTGATTCACTTTTAAAATCACTCTTTACCAAATGAGAACATTAGCATTTTCCAAAATACTAATAAACAAATGCTTCAGCTAAATTTTCATGAGGTCAACCTTGGGAATGACATTGCTTTCGAAGCTGTGCTTGAACACAGGAATCAGTTGTATGCAATTGCATGTGTGTAGAGGGGGGTGAGCACAGGAGGGGAAGGGGCGGATTTTAAGAGGCATGCAGAGGTCTGTCAGGTCAATGTCACTTTCTAAATTCAAATTTCTAACTTTTGTGACTGGAGCACAGGTGCCTGGCTGTAACCAGGCTTGACGTGTCAGATAATCTACAGTTAAAGGATGTTTTTAGAGGAGATGATAGACTATCATACAAGAGCCAGTTTCCATAACAATCATCGAAGAAATGAATGGAATTAAGTTCCTAATTGTGTTCATCATTGTGCTGTATTAAATAAACTGCAGTTTAGTTAAATTTAGTTATCACTGCAACAAATGTTTGACTCTGAGAATATGAGCACCGTCTGTCAGCATCTGTCCCACTGCTTCTCACATTTTCACATTCTTGAAAGAAGATACTGAGTTTTTCCTATCTTCTAATCCTCAGGAAAAACTGGAAATAATCTGCTTAACACATATGTTTTCAATAAATTCACTGAACTTGTACAGATATAGAATAATGGAGCTGGACCAATTGGCTTAACATCCCTTCAGTATCTTGCACCCCCTTGTGTTCCTTGTAAATATGACATTTAGTGATGATCAAATAGTGATAGCTGATTGAACAGTGATTCTCAAATTTTTATTATTAAAGGACTTGGGGGTTAATTGACTATGTGAGACATGCTGATCTTAAATTGATAAGAATGGTGGCCTTTATCGTGGAGAATTTTAATTTGGTTTGATAACAGTATTATTGCTTTATATACCTGTTTAGCCTCATTTACATTGAATGATTTTATCAACATAGAAATGTAAAAAAGTAGTTACAGAAATTAACATTTTTTTTCTTGATGTAGTAAAAGTGATTGGTTTTTTGTATTATTTTTGTTTTAGAACCAAATTCACATTCACACACACACCAATAGAGATGCTGGCCTCCATTCATCCTAAATCTTATGGAGTTTTGTGACTCAGGAAAAAACACTGAAAAATATATTCAGCAGATTCAAATTTAAATGGAAGAACAACTTTTTTTTATTTTAATTTGAAACTTTTAAATGCAAGATAAAGATGCCCCTCCGAAACCAGGAACAAGAATAAATGAGGTGATAAACCCACCTGGACCTCTTGAAGTGGTTGGATGTGAAGTGTAGAGAGCAGCAGCAGATTTAAAGCCCAGGACAGAGCAGGTTTGCGCAGTTGGGCCACTGAAAAGGACAGTCCCAGATGTACCAGCAGCACACTCACACCTTTAACCCCCAACACGCTGCTGGCTGCTAAGAGGCCATATATGGTGAGTGCTGGCACCCTAAGCTGTTGGAGGAACATGGAACGTGTTGGATTGAAACATCTCCCTGATAATAGCTACAGTCTTAACAAGTACAGCACTGCAGAAGTTGCTTCCTACCTTGGGATAAAAGATGCTGGTCAATCTTGATATGATGCCATGACCAGTCAGGGTCCAAAGTAAAGATGTCTTCGCCCATTCAGTCCAGAAACTCCACTCAAAGTCTGATGGGTCCTGACAAAGACAACTAACTTTAACGGTGTGATTAAGCCCTAGTTTTTTTAAAAACTGAAACTAAATTGAAGCAAGCTTTTTAAAACTTTTTAGTTTCTGTGACACAAAATCTCTCATATTAGGACTGGACTTAACACAAACTTAATTCAGAACTTACCCTTTTAAAACCCTTAAGAAGGCCTTTTTCCAACTGCAATCCTCTTTCTAGTCCCACTTCATGTTCTGAGGTACAAAAAGGAATTAACTTCAGTTTTCTTACAACATTTCACCTCAATTCACTTAACCAATATATTGATATATATCCGTCCATCTACCTTACCTTTGGAGAACCTGTGCAGTTGGTAGAAAGAGTAGAGATGTGAGCCAAAGGACAGCACCCAATACGCAAGGATCTCTGTCCATGGCAGGGGTGCCAACTGGGCCTTTGATCTAGATGTCATCAGGTTAAATCACTGTGCTATAGTGGACCTGAAATAGAGTGATTGAGAAACATACAGTAGTTTGATTCTTTTTCAATTCACATGAACTGCTAAATGGTGCACAGCTGTTGAACTTCAAAATTATCTGCAAAAGAAATGCTAAGATGTGTAAAACTGTACTAATTTATAGACCAAGATCATACTAACCTTTAATGAAATTGAAGAACAATTTATGCTAATTTATCAATTAGTTATTTATTTATGGTATTGTTCGTTTTCTGTTTCAGTATATGTGATCTAATTTGTGATAGTTTAATGATTTTATTATTTCTTTTGCCGTGTGTGACTTGCCTTGTTGTTTATAAACGTATTTTCTCAATGAAGCACAAAAAACATATTTCACAGCCTCAAATTCAGAGAGCTAAATATGTTTTAAGTTGGTCTTTTAAAACATGTTTTGCTTTACTTGAAAAACAACGGAAACTTGTTGAGACTTGTTAATATTATTTTCACTGTACTTACTTAGTACCCAAACGAGAACGTTTTAAACCGTTATCAAATAGAAATCACTGCCGTTGCTAGGTAAGATAGTTTTTTTTGCCAGGTAACACTGCTGGTTCCCAGACGTTGCAGAATATGACGTCGCCCGACCGTCATAACCGCCCCTGCTTTCAGGTTGGAAAAAAAAAAAAGTATTTCCAGGTTGGGCAGTTTTCTTTAATTGGTTAAATTTCTCTTTAATTGGTTGGGTAATAATTGATTCAGACAGGTTGTTATGATTTGTGATAATTTTGAACCATTCAGACGGTTTCCACGTACGAGAGGTTAGTCTAAATTCCAGGGGTTTAAACTGTAACGTGAGTCAACATTAGCTGTTGTGTGAGGTGAAAGGACGATCAACAGTTGCAGCAGCAGTGGTGGCAATTCAGGTAGGCTGCTTTACGAACCCCTAGCGCCCGTTTTCAGCAATTTCTGTGAAACATTGTAGTCTTAGCTCAGTTAAATACGAACACACAAACATAATACACCTATTTTTAGATTAATTGGATTTACACTTTCCGGGGATATCATTATGTTATCGCAAAAGAAACGTTCATAAACCCGTGTAGCATCATAGATAAAAAGGCGCACCCTATAACTCCAGAACTTGGCTGTGAATCATCATGTTTTGAGGTTTTCTTCCGTATCAAAGTAATTCGTTGATAGTTGTCAGTACAGCCAATAGTATGTAGCAATCGCGAACATCTAACGGTGAATTCGGCTGACTTAGTTTCCAAAAATGTAAAGAAATATAGGTTAAAACGAGGCGATTGGGTTGGTTCTACAGTCAAATTGGGTTACTTTTTGTCAGTCGAATATGGCAACACTGCGAGACAAACGGGTAAAGTAAAGACCAAATTCGGTAACGTTACTTGGCATCCTCTTGGCATTTGAGATTATGATGAGACCACTTAAACCAAGTATACGTGTGTGTACACATTTTCGTGCTCATTTGGCCATTTGTTTTATTCCCATTTTGCTGAGTTACATGAAAACGTAAGCTATCCTCGTGGAATGACAGTTAGCTAACGTTAGCTAAGCAAGCTAATCATTGAAACAAGTTTGCAGTGTTACCTAATAATACTGGGCTGGTGTTCATTGCGTCGCTGTAAATTGTAGACTGCACTGTCTGACAGTGCTTAGACCGTAGGAATATACCGCTAGTACACACTCCTGTTTCCCACCTACTGAATTCTCCTTCTTTAACCCTGTTCCATTCTGGCAAATCACTTTTTCTCAGAGCATGACCGCCCCCATCTGTGCCGGAGTGGCTCGTCAGCTTATGCCAGGAAAACCTACTGTATTTGCTGTAGGTTTTAGCCTTATACTGTAGCCTATATAATATAATCTTCATATACAATCAGTGGTTTTTGCCTGAGGTGAAAAGTAATAAGTCATATAGTCAAGTTATAACACTCCTACCTCTCAGCCTAATGTGTATTTTTACTTTTGAGTTTCTTAAGTACATTTTGCTGTTAATGCTTTTGTGCTTTTCTAAAATTATGCATGCATTTTTAAAATATGGTCATGCTATTTTTACTTAAGTAAAAGATCTCAATACTTCCTCCACCACTGGTTTTAGCCTGCATCTTTGATATGATCTGACAAAGGAAAACCAGTAATAACAGTAAGATGAAAATAAGAGATATTTCTCATGGAACTTCATACCCTGATATAATAACTGAAAATATGATTGATGACACAGTAGCAAAGTTGAGTTGACATTGGCCCTGTTGGTCAACACTATAAGATTGCTGGTATTTGTGTGCAAATATAGAAAACCTGGGAAAACAAACAAACACAGGAAATTTAATTGGTAAGGATTTTCACACACACAAAATGATTTCCCCTGACATTTTAATCACTCTACTAGAGGACTGTTACAATTTAAATGGTTAACTGTGGATAAACTGTTGGTTAGTGAATCAACCACTGACTCTATGCATGCATCCTGAATTAGACAAGTTTGTAGCGTTTTCATAGCTCAACAAAAGATCGGAGATTCTTAACAACAAAAAAGGCACTAGGAAATAACAAATATGGTAATAAGTTGACATGAAGACAGTTTGTTCAACAGTAATTGGCATAAATCAATCCTTCATACATGATTCATTCTTTCCTCATTGACAAAATCTGCAACTTCTCACAAAAACAACAACTTTTCTGACAAATTAAAGGAGTGTTTAGACTCCACTTATGAACTTAACAAATGAAATGTTTGATGTTTCATATTCTCGTAACATCTAAACTTTTTTCTTTGCCTTACAACCAAATACAGAGCAAGAACATGACCACATTTCATGTATGATTTCAGTTATCCACACAGAGATTCAAATTCATCAGTACAACAGTTAATTGTAAGCTCATCTATGGTTTCTGTGCATGCTAGTGTGTATGCATGCATTCATGCTTGCGTGTGTGTATGTGCACAGTGAGTGGGTGAGTGATCACAGTATGAATATTTTTTCACAGCTCGTCGGTCTCTCCATCGAAGGGCACAGCATCATTCTCCATATGGATACTGCTGGGCTCACTGCTGCCCACCCAGCCAATAGGAGTGCGGTTGAAGGAAGGCCGGCAGCCGATCTCATGCTGGTATACCACTGCTGGTTCAGGCTCCTCTTTGGTCGGCTCGTTTTCTGGCAGCTGGAATTTCAGGAACTGGCTGGCCTTCTCGAAGCCACCAAAGGGCATGGCAGTCCTAGCAAAGCAAGGTAAGAGGATTATTAAAGCCCCTTTTTGTCACAAAGCTCCTACAAAGTCAGATCCTTAGGGAAGTACCTGTTGAAGGATCTGTATTTGGGCAGATCCTTGTGCTCAGTGGGACCAGGCATTGCTGTTTTCAGAGTGGCAACCAGACCCGCATCACCCTTCATGGCCTTCTCCCATGGCGATATGTATGTCTTCACATGAATAAGCTTCTTAGATGCGTCATCTGTTCCACCTCCTGTAAGTGCAACATGCACCGCGGGAGCATATGATATGATGTTTGTGGAAAAACATTTTGAGAAAAACATTTGTTTAATTTATTTATGTATTTTTTTTGGCTGAGAGTTATACAAGATACCACTTATATAATACCACTCTCATGTCTGTGCACTAAATATGTAGTTTGAGCCGGCAGCTATTTAGCTTAGCTCAGAACATTTACTGGAAACATGGGGAAGCAGTTAGCTTGGCTCTGTCCAAAAGTAAAAAAAAAATCTTCTTTAAAGTCCACAAATTAGTACATTATATCTCTAACACACTGTTACAGGGGTTATGTGCTTGACTATTTCTTGACGGGGTGCATAGCTTCTTGGTGTCTGCAGGTTGCCTGACCACCTCACAGAGACGACAATCTTTATGTCTGTACAATATGTTTAATATTTTGTGTGTTTATTTATTTTATCATCAATCCTTTCTTGTGAATGTGTATTTAAATCCTTTGTGAAGAAAGAGGCACCGTGCCATAAAACAGAATCCCCCTAAAAATGACCAAAAAAGTGATACCAACCTTTTAGTGGAGACCACCCACTGGCTCCTTCATCTTTCCCATGATCACCTCCACCCAGTCCTCCTGCACCTCCTGCTCCTCCTGCTCCTCCTGCACCTGCACCTGCACCTGCACCTGCACCTTTGCTTCCAGGCTTTGGAGGAGGCACAGGGGCTCCTCCTCCAGTGTGTAGCCCTATGAAATTCAGTCCACCCTGCTTGCTAACAAAATGCCCACCAAGGTTTATCATCTGACTGCCCATCTGACCTCCCAGAGAAGGAACAAACTGCTGGAGGTTGTCCTGAAAGAAATGTGATCAAAATAACCAACCATACATCAAACAGTACATTCATTTGTATCTGCTGATTAAATTTGTTTCTTCTTCTTGATGTTATATCTGACATTGCTGAGTACTCTGAGCCCTTTTTGTCTTAACCTGCTTCCAGATAATTAAAAAAACGTAATCTTGCTTGTTTGATTGATCAGTAATAATCTATGACCAAGAGTTTAACCATAATTGGTCCAGGTGACTTGAAATGTAAAAGACCAAAGACATCCATTTACAGATGTCCTAGTGCTATATTTCTTTCAAATGGTTTTAATATGAATGAAAATTAGATTATAAGGTGACAAAAATAAAATGTTTCTTCAAATATTGCCATATTTCTCCAAGTTTCAAGGTTGGTTGAAGGTTCTTTGTGGCATTTTTTGGTGCATTATGCATATTGTACCATTTGAGAATAATTTACTTGAAATTACAGAGAGTGATTGAATTTTGTTTTGTTTTTCTCCATTAACTAGGCTCTCACCATTGACTCACTGCTGAAGATGTCAGGATTATTCTCATAGATGAACTTCTCCACTCTCTTCTGCCTCATCTTGAACATCTTGGAGCCTCGGTTCTTCATCAGGGAAAGCTCCTCCAGCATGATGTCTTTGGGAGTCCTGATCTTTGTTCCCAGGTCGAACTCAGATGCCTCCGGCTCCGACTCATACTCTAGGTAAGGGACACCCAAACAAATGGGCTAAGCATTTGAAAATGTGATAACAAAATTTTACTCAGAGGTGTAGAAAGTTTAACTCTTTCATATTTGATGAACTTTCACAAGGTAAATTGACCAGGGAGATGATCATTCACTGACATGCTTAATCATTTCTGTTGAAAAGATTTGTCTTCATAAACAAAAATGCTTTGTTTGTCCTTGTAGCAGGATTATGATTCTCAGTAGTAACATGCCAATGTGAAAAACTAGGACAAGAATCACAAAAAACTTCAATCAATCAGCAACCAATCTTGTCTGATGATGGGTTGTTATGATATTGACATAACTGTAATCAGAACATTCACTAAAGGATAGGTTTAACCTGCTTGTTTAAACACACCTTCAGTATTCCCTCATTCTCTCTGTCTATGCATTTACTTTCCTCTTTCCTCTGAAACATTTAAAATAATGTTACAAAAGTTTAGCACTTCATAACCATTTTAAACACCATCACATTTAGTGACTGTAAAAGAAACCTGTATAATATCCTGATATTCTGTTGTTTTGTGTTATGTTTTATACTTATTTTTCAATTGTACTGCAGACATAACTGTGTTTATTCTGTAAGATTTGTACCCGCCTACAGTAACTATCACCTATCAGCCAGTCATTTACATAAACTTTGTTTATATGACAGAACTGTACTGAGCAAGGTATCCCAGCCATATTGAAATTTGATTCCACATTCATGTCAGCCTTACCATCCTGAGCGATATGTGATAGGTCAGTTATGATCTTGGAGGGCTTTTTCCGCTTGTTTACGGGGGCAGGTGTTCCCAGAGGCATGTCTGGAAGGCCAGGAGAGAATATTGTGTAAGCAGTAACAATTTTGGATTGCAAACATACAGAGGAAAAAACCCAGGGATAGAAGTAATGAAAGTGAACCTCTTTCTTTCAAGAGACAAAAACAAAGTAATGTAAGAGTTGTTTTTCTTTGTTGTTAAGTGACACATTTTGAATGTCCAGTACAAAATTAGACTAAAGCAAGAAGAGGAATTAAAAGAAAAAAGAAAAAAAGTAAAGCAAATAGTGTTTTCAATGCAGCAACTTGAAGAAGTTGTGCTTGCTGTCTTGAGTTATATAATATAATTCACATAACATTGGCCATTTGAAGGAATATTTATTGATAGTAATATAACTCTAAATCTGCATAGCCTCAGGTTCAGACTAAAATTCAAATACACCAAAAGGATTGTTTTTGTTTTAGTTTCAACCAGCTCCTCAAGATCACTCTTCTCCTTCAACACTTACAGCCATCAACAACCCCTGAAAGTGAATCCACAGGACCTGAATGTAACGGACAGGCAGCACGAGCCCTGCTCATTTTTCAAGTTCAAGGAGGGATGTCAGTGCCCTCAGATTCCCCACATTCTCCAGTGAAACAGATGTCTGCCTCAAAGGAAATGTATAGCTTAATGCATGTTTCTGTTTTGTTTGGGGTTACAAGAGACTGAGTCAACATAAACAGAAGCATGCTGTAGTTTAGGCAGAAATGGATGATCAATGCACCCTGATGCTATTCTACTGCAGTAGAAGTGAAGGTCTCAAGATCATAAAATAGCATTTGGCATTATTCATATCATCTGATCATATTCCCCAATCTGCAGCCTGCATGGGAACATGTTGGCGGGGGAATCTGGGAGTAATACTTTGCTCTGTCTCATCTTTCAAGATATGAATCACTGTTGAAGCATATTCGCATTAATAACCATTTTTTTCTTATAACCTCCCTAGTGTGGGATATGCATCTGGGTCTTACATTATCTCATTTTCTTATGTCACACTGTTTTTTACCTTTCTACATGCATATCAGCACCTTCAGCTCTCAGTAGTTTCTTTAATTCCCAATCAAGTAGCAAAACATCACATCTCATCTACTGGCTGTAACTCAACCCACTGCAGCTATTTTTAAAAGCCATTTCCAGCCAAGACATTTTAGCGACATGTAATGGCGTCATTCGACTATCAAATGGGCTTGAGACAACCCTTAAGGACACAATACACACCTCCAGAAAACAATTCTGAGTGTATGTTTGAACTGCTCTCAAAACATGAATGAGGTCTGAGTAGTTGTAGATGTTAACAAGGAGGGTTTTGGACACTGCTTTAATTCCCTTAAATAATTACAGGCTTAGGGACCACTTGTGCTCAGATTTAACACCCCCATGTCAGGGTTTAGTAACACCATATAAAATCTCTGTAACGCCCACAGAGAGGGATGGTCAGCACATTTACTCATTCCTTTGGTCATTTTAAGACGTACCAAGAAAATCTAAAAGCAGTAAAGTGACTCCCAGAGCCATTTGTTGGGAGAATCAAAAGCATTTTCACCAAAAGCAATAATCTGTTTTTCTGAGTTGTTGAGGTCTTCTTCTGTAATTTTTTCCGCTCCACAACTCAGAGAAATTATGGTTGGGAATATGTTGCACGTCTTTATTCCCGCTTTTTTGTAGGAGCCAGACTTAAAATCCAAACTGTTGGTTGATTAGTAGAACAAAGCACATCGATGGGATGCAGATCCACTCACCGGGTTTTTGTTGTAATCCTGGTAGGAGAAAGAGACCTATAAATACCAAACAGAGAAGAGGAGACCCAGGGTTCAATTCTGGTGATCTCAATCACAAGTTTACAAATCCCTCAGTGCCTCTGACCCTACGTATGGCTGGACCCAGGTCCTGAGAAGTGCAAAAGCCACCCTACACTCAGATGGCAGATCTTCCAGAGGGTTGAGGGTGTGGGTGGCAGCAGTGTTGGTGTCAAGAAGGGAGGAGGAGGTGGTGGTTTAGCTTAGGGGTATGAATAGGGATGGGGGGGGGGAGTCTCTGTTGGCCAGCTGAAAATGCTGATGGTGATATTAAGGGAACAAAATCATTCTCACAGATGGGTCAGAAGCCTATATTTAGTAGCAAAGAACGTGGAGAACAGAACTCAGCTATAAGATAACCTCAGAGGACTCTGGGGTGTGTTTGGGGTACACAGACAGACTGATAGAGAGGGAGAGAAGAGTATATACAAGTGGACAGTGCAAGTTTAAGGTTAAGTATATGTGCGTATATTAGGGCCAAGTTTGTGTTTCAAAGTGAGGGTTAGCTCCTTTACTCCCTACATTACTCTAACGTGACACTAGATTGTCACATTTTCAGTTCCTCTGGATCATCATGTGGATGTCATGATGGACATGTGGAGACAGAGCTGTCAGATACTCTATCTTTGTCTGGCTAAAACAGCTTGTGCAAACACTACTGTAGCATCCAAAGACTAATACCAATTAAAGACAGTACATGTTTTATCATTCTGCTATGCTTTGTAGTTTTCTTCATTTTGGGAGTATTGTAGTATGAATGCATGAAAACAATTTTAATTTTATTTTAAGAAAAAATTACCTTAAAGTGCAATAAAAACATCTGACATCCACAGCCATCATAAAGTGTGCTCACTCCAATTGAGACATTTCACTCAAAACCACAAATATGTAAAAGTGAGGGAATCACCAAAGTCTTTCAAATTCATCACCTCAGAACCCCGGATGTCTGAACAAAATCTCATCATTAAAACCCACAAAGTCCTAGAGTCCTTAATATTCTACGTGGTAGCTATCTTTTCTATAACACTAAATTATTCTGTATATTTTTATAAATGAAAAATAATGATCACAAAAGTATGCATATCACGTCTTTCATTAGGGCTTATTAGTGTTAATATCTCATCTTGTCTTACCATATACTGCTGAAATGTCATGTCTGTGCAGCTTTAGTTGTGTTTTTGAGCGTGTTTTCCTTACCAATTTAAGTGTAGTTGTTTTATTTAAATGCAATACTGAACTTGCTGATCTATAGTATATGTGTGGATCTGTATAACTCATTTAGTTTTGTAGATACAAAAGTGGTACATTTTTTAGCCTGGAATGTGGGCAATTGTCCAACAACAGTGCTTTTGTTTATCATAAGTGGGTCTTTTCTATTTGGCTTAGTTCTGCTTTATTTTAAGCATGCTCTTGTCTAGTCTCCTCTTGGAATACCAGGTCTTGACCCCTTGTCAGTAATTTTAGAGCCATCTCCAAATTGCTATTTAATCCAAAGTCTAGAGAAAGTTTTCTTTCATCTGCTGTATGATCACTTCAATACAGTCAACTGCAATTGATGATTATTATGATTATTTGTAATTTTTTGTTTTTGTTTTTGACACACCTCCACATATCTCTGGGGTAATTAATTCTTTGACAAATAGAGTGCTGACTAAATTTTAGAATATAAAGAGAAAGAGGACATAAGGAATGATGGTACATCAAGAGAAGTGATGATTTAGAACAACTGATGAATTATCTGGTTATATTAGTTTTGTAGAAAAGATTATATGATTTTATATACAAGAACCAGGGAAAATACTGTACATGGTATTTTCAATACATCTTCAAATAGAAACTTTCCAGAAGCTGAGAGGGCAGTTTTATTATTTTTTATTTGATCTTTATTAAGCAGTTAAATTAAGAGCAATATTTTACCAAGAGTAGCAGCTTGGCAAAATGTCATTTTCACTATGAATAGTCTTCTGTTTGGATATTAACAGTCCTATATTTAGGCACCCTGTGAGTGTGGAGGTTTGAGACAAAATGCACGCAGTCAGGGACGAGTCCAACGCAGACTCCACAGCACCCCTCAGTGGCAAATGTTTGTGTTGACAAGAAAAACCTGGCTCCTATAGCTCCGCAAGGTCTAACTCAGTATATCAGTCTATCCCAATTATGTCAAGTTCAACACTTTTCCAGAAAATAATTCTTAATTTCAATGTGGGTGCAGTGAAAATGTAAACTCTTATGCTTATGGTCACTTAGCCACTGATAGATACTGTGGTCTGTCAGTGAACAGGAGAGTCTCTCTATCTACCATGCCACCTCCCTGTGACTCAGTGGATGAGTAGGAATCTATAAAAAGACAATTTGTGATTGTTGAAACTCCTAAACAAGATCCTGAGAATGCATTTTCTCTGTTTTCTCTGCAGCTTAAGTAGACGATTTGGTGGTGATGTGATAGAAATGTGGTTATACTCAAGTTTTCTGCGGTCGAATTGGCCTGGATCTCAACCCATTTTGATACAAAGGTGAGTGAGGAATCTGGCTTCCTTCCCATTCTGCGCAATCTCTTCCTCTCTCTGTCTCTCTGTCTCTCTGTCTCTCTCTCTCTCTCTCTCTCTCTCTCTCTCTCTCTCTATCTATCTATCTATCCGTCTCTCTCTTTCTCTACTTTAAAAAAAATCCCTTTTGACCTAATGGCAAAGCCTGGAATTTCTTGCATTCATTTGCATTACTTGTATATTGATAGTTTGTTGCTCCTTTTACCACTAGAAGTTATCTCAACTTCTTGTAATGCTCTTCCTCCAATCTTCTCCTTATAATTTTATCAATTAATGTCTGAATATTGTGATTGTATCTGTATCTTAACTGCTGAAAATGCCTAACACATGACACTGACAACCCTGATGTATCAAATAGACACAATAGCCTCTTCATTATGAAATGCTCTTTAAATATTCTGTAATTTGTGTCTGGTGCATGTGTGCGTGTGTGCGTGTGTGTGTGTGTTTGTCCTATAAAAACAGGCTATAAAGCATTTTCCTCCTTTGAGGGTAGAGTTAAGCATATTTTTTATTAAAATACATGCAGGTAATGTACATGAAAAGAAAAGAGCAGGTTCACACAAACAACAACAGGTGGCAGTGTAAAGTCAGAGATGTCAGACAACTGGAGAGCAATCTAATTTTATTCCTCTAGAAATGTCTTGTCTCCTAATCAGTATAAACTTCTACTCAGCATTAATAACAAACATTTTCACACTTATTTAACGCATCTACATTCAGAAATATATATTTATCATATTTTACACCTCAACATAACTATATCCACAACCTAGTTTTTATGTAGCCATAATATTGTGAAAACAAGAAAAACCTGTAAGAGAAATTTTATTTTGAAAATGGTAAAAAATAACAAAAGTATCTCCCCAAGAATTCCATAACTGAAAGCAACATATTCATTTCTTTGTTTCTTACCTGTATCCATTAACATACTCAGTCTTTCATTGTATATAGCCATTAAATATGTTTACCTTTTCCTTATTCCATTGTGACACCAGCTAAACATATAAGCTTCTTTCTATCAGCTTCTTTTTTTAGCTTTTCCAGTAAACTTCAGGTGCCACACTTTCTTGGCCATTATCCTTTCATTTCTGTTGGCTGTGGGATCAGCTCAATCTGAAATCTCAGTTTTACTACATCTGATAATGACTCTTTCTGTGAAATGGGCTGTGATCTAAAATGTTCCAAGTGAAATCCCATTCAGTAACCTGGCCTTCCTGTATCCGGCTCATACCCCCCTCCACAGCCACTCATTCCTTGAACCCTTTTACAAATGCTGGTGCCACTTGATTTGTCAACTTCCCCTTGCACCCCTTCAGATTAAATCACAATTAAACAAAACAAAATACACATTCCTTCATCTGTGTTATTTGTTTAATAAAAGTTAAAGAATTTACATATATCTGCAAAGATCACACTGATACTAAGGAGGCTCTGGTGTGCCTAAGGGGCAATTGGAAGCTGTGATATCCAGTGACAAGTGTACATTCAGTGACAGCCCGGGTACTCTTGAATGTGACCCATGCTAAAAAGATTTCTCTCTGGCTATAGTGAGCAGAGATATTTGGCACAACCTCACTAACACTTCGCAAGAGTGAACCATGTCTTCACATGTAGTTCCACAATACAATTTTCAACTGGTCATGCATCATCTTAACCCCTGGAGACTAGGTCATCATAGGCTTCTTCTTGATAATGATACAGAGTGGGTAAAAAACATTTTGTGCACATCATTTAGTAGTACAAGTATCTGAATAACAGAATACATGTTCAGAGATAAAAGGCTTTATCCACCTCCACCTGTCAACATGATTTAATCCTACGGTCAGAACCGCAACTATTCATTTTCAATATCTTCACTTCAAGTTTCAAAGAAAAATTCAGTACAGGCTCTGTTTAGATGGTGTTTCTGCTAAATTAGTAGAAAGAGATCTCCAGTAGCCTTACACAAACCTCCCCCAGGACAGGCATATGGTGGACTATACAGCATACACTATGTGCTAATATATTCCCTATCATAATTATTATTATTTATTATCATTATTATTATTATTATTGTCACTCGGCTTAACATGTGAATAAATGTGTTGGTAGCAAAATAAATGTGATAAGCAGCATTTTGAACAGCAAGTAGACATTTATGTATCTATTACCATTATCCAAGTTCTAACACTTTTTTAAAAACTTGACCGATTTCTAGATTTTAATGTCATACTGAATCATGACATTGCCTTATGTTTACAGCTGAATTTGCAGCTTAAATTACTTCAATGCAGGGCTTAATCAGTTAATTTCTTAGAGAATTGCCCATCACAACTTCCCAAACCTAAGGTGATAAACTCAAAATGCTTGTTTTCTGTTCGGCCAACCACCCAAAGCCCAAAGATTTTCCATTTACAATAATCTTAGAAAAGCAGAAAATTGTCACATTTGAGAGGTTGAAGCCAGTGAATATTTGACTTTTTTGCTGAACAACGATCCAATTAACAAAATTGTTGATTAGTATTTTGTCAATAATCAACTAGTCATGTCTGCACTAAATTAATATTACATGAAGATGTCCAAGGGTGGTAGTGACTGAGTCACTGCTGTTCACATTGCCCCTGGCCTCCAGACACGGGGCTGGATGCCTCCCTTGGTGGCAACAAAACGTGGTTTAGGTGCCTGAACTGCATTGGATTTGACTGGGGGCAAAGATGAAAGGATACTGAGCTCTGGAGCACTCTGGAACTGCTTGGCTGTCTGGAGGCCAGTAGTGTAGGATACTGGAGTGTAAGGGGTAGGGACTGCAGGGGGCACTGGGTTTGGAATAGGGGTGGCAGAGAATTTTGGGAGGCTGGGCAGTCCAGCTGGTTGGGAGGGAGGTGAAACTGGGGTTGGGGCACTGACTACTGCTGGTGTTAGGAGAGGGGCCGGGCAGGGAGTGAAATGGACAGGAGGTGGGGAGGTCATGGAGTGAGTCAAACGTTCTCCAAGGGTTGTGGCTGAGCGAGGTGCAATGACTTTGGGAGCCAAAGTGGGAGCTGACATGGGTGTTGGTGTGGAGAATCGCTTGATCTCATAGACACGGGCTGTTTTGAGGGGGACCTGTTTAGGCGGGGTTAATGAACTTCCCACCATTGTTGCTGAGTAATGACCCTGCTGATGCCTCTGGGCCTGGTAAGAAGGCATGGCTGATAGATTAGTAGCACTTCCCCCATAGTTGAACATGGCAGAGTTGAGCTGGTAGGGCTGCCTTCTCATGAAATCCAGAGCTTTGATGCCCTCTCTTTGGGAGCCTCCACTGCCCCTACTGTCTGGCTTGCTTGCATCTCTCTGAGGCCCTGTAGGGATTGAGGGAGCCAGTAGTGGATTGTACCCAATGGGTGGAGGGGCACGAACATTCGGGGAGTATTTCCACTGAGAGGGAAGGGAAGGATTGAGGGAAGAGTCAAGGGGCTGGGCTGCATTATGCAAAGCCATTTCTTGCTGGTATGGGGTCTCAGATGGGGTGTCCACTACATACATACCCATGCGGCTCTGCCTGCGGGCAAACAGCTGGGCCCCCTTACCCCCTGCTTGAATAATCTGTGGGACTTCGTGGATGACACGAGGCTTGGGTGCCACTGGAGGAGGCACCCTCCCCATGCCAGCCTCACCACTCCTCTCTTCCTCTGCAACATCATAGTTAGCCTCAGCGGGTGGTTGGCCATATTTGTATCGGGTGGACCTGTCATCCAGATTCTGCACCATAGACAGTAGCTCAGGATTGGGGGAGTTCTTTTTGACATCTGGCACATTGAACATAGATTTGACTTTGCCACTACGCCGTCGAGCCTCGAGCAAGATTCCTGTGCGACCTGTTGGACCAGGAACAGGGGTTGGAGCTACAGCTTCTGGCTGGGAGACCACTGACACTTGAGCTACAGGTGCCATGGAAAATTGTGGTTGAGGCGGGTGAGAAACTGGCACTTGAAGTGGAGACACTGGGGCAACTGGGTCAGCTGAACCAGGAATTTGGGATACAGGAGGAACAGGGACTTGAACCATTGGTGCTTGTGGAGATGGTATGGATGACATAGACACTGGGGGCACAGTTGCAAATGGAGCCTGATGAACAGTAGTTATTGATGATGCTGGCTGTATTGTTTCTACAGAGGTAGAGATTGCTGGAGGATGAAAGGTAACTGGAGCTTCTGGTGTCGGAGCCAAGGGGCCTTGAGGTATAGTGGATGGTGGGGAGAGGACTAATGGAGGACCAGGGGGTAAGTGTGATGTTACTGATGTAGCATTAATGGCTTGTTCAGAGGCAGTGGAGAAAGGTGGTGGCAAAACAGCTGCTGAGGCAGGACGCTGGGTCGTTTTTGTGACGGATGGTCGGAACGTTACAGGGGCAGTTGCAGCTCGGATGCTGATGAAGCCAGGAGTGAAAGGACGTGCCGTTCTGTTTAGAACATTACTAGCAGGTAGCTCAGGTAATGGTGTTTCAGCTGATGGTGCAGGACTGGTCAGAATAGTCACTGAAGCAGTGGCTGGTTTGGGTGCCACAGGTGGAGGTGACATCACCATGCTAGCTGTGCTAACTGCAGAGTAGGATAGATCCCCATTAGACACCCCATGGGTACCAACAGCAACTAGACCTGGACCCTGGGAGAGTTCTTGCTGTAGCGTTGTAGGCCCAGGTGGCATAATCTGCTGTGGTTGGAGGTTTGGTTGCATCTGTGGTTGTATTTCTGCATGCATCTGGTACAACTGAGCCTGCTCTTGGACTTGAGACTGTGGATGAGCCTGTGGCTGTGCTGCCTCCACCTTTTTGGCATGCTCAGCAGCTCTCTTTCTTTGCTGCTCAAACAATTGGGCACCCTTGCCTGTAGTGTCACTCAACCCTGGACTTGGAGCGTCCTCTGCCCCATCCCCACGACCTTCACTTCCTGCAGTTGCCCTCTTCTCCAGCATATCCAAGTAGTCACTATCCCAAGTTGGGTCAGGAACTGCTGAGAAGCCATCTTCATCAAACTCTGACTCGCTTCCAGGGAATACCCCATCCTCCTCTTGTGAGTCCCGACACGTGTCCTCATCCACACTACCAAAGCTGGTGAGGGTGTACTTCTTAGAGCGCTGCCGCCTCTTCTTGAACATCAGTACCCCCTTGGAGTGAGGGTTGGGAGCATCAGTCAGCAGGGATGCAATTGTTCGACACTTGCTTTTGGCTTCCTTTACATTCTTGTCTTGCACTGTGTCTCCTCTGTTCAGTTCTGCAGGGTATGAAAGCCATAGCTATTAGGAATAATTGCACAATAGTACAACATAGTCTGAATTTAGAGATTTAACCTTTAAACCAAGAAATAACTCTGACAAAAGCATCTAAACCTGTCCTGACCACCATGCCTTCAACAGACATCTATCTCTTAACTCGCCGCAGGAGTACTTCCGGGAAAATTCCAGGCAAGTCTTCAGCTTCTCACATTAGCTGGGGTGAAGGATAAATTTGCACATTATTAGGCTTATGTACTCTGACATCTAAATTAACTGAAAATATTTGCAAGCTAGTGGAAAGTTGCATATTCTAGGTGACTGGAAGGAGAACATCAAAGGGCGGCCCGAACATATCCTTTAACTTGTTATGGTATTAAGGAGATTATCATAGGCAGCCTAATTCTGTTACCCAAATATGCACTGCCACGTGAAGAGAGTTCTCAATTTGTCTACGACAGGGTTTCTAAGTAGGACTTTAGAATGTTAAACCTGCACTCAGTGATGGCAAGGGGGATTTACAAGAGTAAATTTATTTAAGTTCTTAAAACAGCCTGTTGACTTCAAATAGCCCAGCTCTTTGCTTTTCATGGGCCTATTAAGGATGATTGGCTGGATGACAAGTCGTAGGAAAGAAGGCTTGGTCAGTGTCAGTGCTCTCTATCTGTTGCATAACTGTATCATTGCAATTTTTGACCTCTCTTCAAAGTTTGTGAAACAAGAGGACATAACTGGTTGATATTTCAGCTGCAGTAACTAGAAATTATACATTATGACATATGGTAAACACTGTGAAAGATCAGCTTCCTATTTGTGACGATTTAGATCTTCAACTGCAAGTTCAAGTGACTGTTCCCTGTTATATCTGTGACTTACCATCTTTTAAACACATCTATTTATATTGGTGCCTTTTCCAGAAACATAACAGCACATTTGTCACAGTTGAAAGTCAACCCTTGTCATATTTAATGTTGCAAAACATATCACGCTTTTGTGCTTTCATAAATATTTGATAAAATACCAAGACAAAAACACAATGAGAGAAACAGTCAAAGAGATAGAATAGAGAAGGAAAGAGGGGCAGTGAAAAAGAGAGTATCCCTGCTTTGCTACTTGATACCTAAAAGCAGCTGTGGATGCTTTTCAGTGCTCCCAGACTGATCACTGGGGGTTTCACACACGTAGCTTAGGTTGAAACCCGCTCACACTGGACTTGGTTTGTTTAGATGTGGTGGTTGACTATTGGATTAAGTGACTTAAATGATTAAATGATTAAATTACTTTTACACAGTGGCTTTCTTCATTAAGACTCACATCAAGATTAAGACAGACCTACTCAAACACCATTCATATTGGTACTCTAATAAATGTTGGTATCAGCTCATATTTTTAGCCATCAATGGGCATAAAAAGGTATTGAGATATTTCAAATTATGCCTCATCTTATCTGTACATATTGTAGATATGCATTTTAAATACGTTATTAAATAGGGATGGGTTTATTACAAAATTAAGTTTACTGTTTGCTGATAGTTATCTGTTTGACCTATAGAGTTTGCAAAAGTTCTGTGACTCTTGAACCAACCAATGATATTTATCAGGTGTGTGGAGGACCCGTGCGAAGCACAGGTCCATGAGATTGTATTTCCTCATCTGTACTTACTGGCTTGCTTGGCTTTTTCCATGTAGGTTGTTGTAAGCTCCTCGTCGATGGGTTTATTCACAGGACCCACCATGGGCACAAGCTGGCTGCGGGAGCCCAGCATCAAGGCCTCCTTTGCCCTCTCAGGGGATACCAGTGGCACATTGGCTGGCTCTAGAAAGCCACTGTCCTCCTCTTGCCCCCCATCCCGTGGCCCCTGGTCATCTGCTGAGGAGATGATGGAGGAGGTCTCAGTGGATGTCTGGGAGGACCACATTCCTGGACCAGGAGGCTGATATATCACCTCCCTCCTTGCCACCCCCGGTAGCCCCCCTCCTCCATCTCCGTCTCCCCCACGTGCATCCAACAAAGAGGGGTAAACGTGTGCATCTGGAGCACTGTCATAGCCACTCATCTCTGATGTTTCCCCGCCCTCAGGGGAGGCTCGTCCTGTCGGTTTCCCAGGGTTAGAGTTGCTGGGGCTGCGGCGTTTCTGTCGGCGCTGCCTCTCATAGCCCGCCACGTCTGCATCACTGTCAGTCTCACCGTAGTAAGCCTCGCTACCAGGTGGAGATGTCAAGCCACTGGTTATAGAGGAGCGGCTACGGTGGACCTCACGGACAGGTGCATGGTGGGAATGGGCGGGTGACATGGCACGCAGAGCAGCACGGTACTCTTTGTCTATACGGGGAGATGGGGCACGGGTCACAAGCACCACAGACTGAAAACCAGCAGGCGCCCTGCAAACAAGTTTGAAGAGGGTTTAATGAAGGACTTGGATGTGATATTGGAATCTAATTTCCTAAATCTGGATTCTGACTGTTCTTGTAGTAAGTAGGATCTCAGCACAAGCAGCAGGAAATGTTGTTTCCAATATATTTTGTTTCGTTTTGGAAATATAATATTCAGTAGGCCTTGTATCAAACATATACACATTGTAGATAGTGCATGTTTTGTGTCAGAGTTGAGTCTCTCACTAAATATATATTTTTCCGGGTTGGTTTATCATTAGTAATAGTATGATTTTTTTGTTCTTCTGACCTTTTGACCCGGATGTGCAATATCCCAGAGGAGCTGTCGATGAGGTTCATGGCTTGGGCATGGGATAGCGTTCCACATGGCTGTTCGTTGATGGAGACCAGCTCATCAGCCTCCCGCAGCCCAGCCCTGCATGCTTTACTGCGTTTACGCACCTAAACAAGGAAAGGAAGGCAAAATTTTAAAAGTTCACATGGATGACAAGTTACATAAACGTTGAGTTGTGATTGGCTGTATCAAAAAATATTATCAATATCAAGCTAATCTGTTTAGGTTTTAGGCTTTCTAGTCTTTTGGGAAAGTCCAAGACAACTTTCAAGTCAAGTCTCAAGGCTTTGAAGTCAAGCTCAGGCCAAAGGGACAAAGTGTCTTTCACATCTGAATGCTAACAATTATAGGCAAGGGGATATTTACATTTCCCTGTTACATGATAATAGTGTTTATTATACTACCAGGACCAAAACCCTTGATGATACTGTATTCATATTCTGTATAGTCAATTCTGAATGAAATTGAATGAAATTACATCAAGTCTCTAGTCTACAGCTCTGATATGAAAAGCGAGGATATGGAAGATATTAGATACAAATATTAACACTTTTACAGTCTTTGTCCCCAGCTATTTTATTATTTCCCCTTAGAATTGCATGTTTGGCTTTTTGCAACCACAGGAATAAAAAAAACCTGGCAGAGCTGTGCTTCTGTCTTGTCTTGGTTTGTGATTGTGACTGACAGAGAGCAGATTTTGTCCTGACAGCTTGATCTTGCTGCGGACACATGCCACATATTGCAGCTCAAGTAGGGCACTTGTGCACACTTTAACAGGGAAATGCCAGCCAGCAGCCATCTTCATTTGGTGCTTTGCTATTTGCGCCTGAGGTCAGTCAGGACTGGCGTTATGCCCACCCTGAATTTCCTCAGATTTATGTTAGCCATGTCAACAAGTCCCATAAAAAATTCAAAGCAGATCTTTGAAAAGACAGCAGTGTTGATTGCTCTCTATGAGGGCACTGCTGTGTATTGAATGAGTATTGTATGTTGGATTTCAGAGATAAGGAAGTGTTGCTTTGGTTGGCCTAATTAGCTTTATTTCCAGCTATTCTGGTTTGCCTGTAATGAAATCCCACTTCCCCATTTAGCTAAGCCTTTCAAAGTGGCCTGTGCCTGCTAGTATATCAGTTATTCAATCAGTCAGTCACCTTGTGGTAGCAAGTCATAACAGTTATAATACCCTTACATGCCCGCGCACACACACATACAGCACATGGACTGATACAAAAATACACATAAACTCTTATAAATAAACACACACAAGGCACAAACCCAGCACTGACACACCGGCTCTTTCAGTGAAGCCCTGAACGGGTCCACCTGTTAGGGACAGTACAGTTTGAGACCTGACAAGATTACGCCTTCCTGCTCTCAGGGGTGAAGGAGCGCGCTGTTTTGGATGGTCAGACAGAAACAGCTGTCCAACACCGTGAAGGTGATTCGGTGTCCTGTGGCTCTCTTGTGTACATACCACTACATTCTGCATAAGTCAACTACAAGTAGGATTAACATTTTAAAGAACCAGCATTCATTTGATGCTAAATGCCGTTCTGTGAATATGGCAGTTGTCTCAGATATATAATCTAGAGTTACATGATCCATAGCACACTTTCTGATAAACAAACAAAGCAAAGGTTAAGCTTCTTCAATTACACTGACCAACCAGAGGGACAATCATTATAAACTCCATGTTATGTGAGCATCCCCTACAAAACAAAAGTTTTCAAAGGCTGAATTTTTTGGAACTGTTTTGGGAAAGCTATTTTAAGATATTTAGTGGAAGATTTATTTGAAAATCACTGCAGAATTGGTTGACCAAAGCGAGCTGTTTTCTTCCTCCTGATCATTCATGCACAATTCATGTTGTCCCTGAACAGGAACAATGACGAGTACAACAGAGGTTTAACTATCAGAATTCGCTTTGCATGTGAACCTACAAGAAAGATTTATATCTTCTTCTATAATCAGCAGCATACTGACTAGTGCATGTACAAAAATAGTGTATGAGGTAAATTTTTGAGTGCTGCGCTGAAACGCACACCTTGGCTGACCCTATGACCTGCTGCTTCTCGATCAAAAATAGCCAGCTGGAAAAGTAGTTCCGCCCAGTCAACGATTATTGCAAGTGTCTGTGGGTATATATGTATGTATGTTTGTGTGATGTGTGTAGATGTATGCATGCATAATCTGTATGCAGGTGTTCTAAAACAGGAATAATCATATCCAGAAATAAATTCACTCTGTATAAAAATCTAATAAGAGAGAAAGTTGGCCCAAGTCTCCTTGAACAGAAAAAACAAGGTGGGCAGAGCGAAGTCACAGATGGTGATGGCATAGAACTGATTGGATACAAACAGCAAAGGATCAATATTAACTCTTTTTTAATATTTACTTCTATTTTGGTTTTTTTTTTGGGGGGGGGGGGGTTTCTTTCAAATCATTTCAGCTTTATCTCTCAGGTGCTATTTTTTTCTCCTTGCAAGCCTAATAAATCCTTTTATCCGGTGTATAGGCCCTATTCCACTTTGGCTTACATATTAATTTAGGAGATCAAGATTCAAATCTGGACTGTTTCAGTGGTGCCAAATGTAGACACCTCTTTCTTGTCCATGAAGAATTTGCTCTAGTGGAGTAAAATGAGCTTCAAGCCTCCATATGAGAGTTGTAGGGTTAAATGTTTCCATTAAACAATGAATATTTCTTACAGGGAACTTTATTTAAGAGAGTAGTATGTAATTCTCACAAAGCAATATTATTTTGAGCATTTCACACCAATGTGACTTGGGTCTTGCCTGAACCACAGTGATTTCAACCACTGAACTAAATCCAGACTTTCATCACATTCATTGCTCACCTGTGTGTTTTCTACTATTGCAACTGTGTTTCCAAATAAATCTCAGGTTACCTTCCAGCTTAAACATGACCTAGCATAGCTGCAGTGATTTCTTACTGAAATGATGACATAGTGGAAACATGCTAGTTGAATAGCACAAAATCAGATCATGGTCATGTGTGAATAGTGTGCAGTATCCGTAAGCCCCTCCACAATAAAGACGCAGTCTATAAAGCAATGACCTCAGTTTACCAAAAATCTCTCTCAAATTGCTCAGAGCACTACTGAAGAATAGTGTCTGTAAGTGGCACAAAGTCAAAGTTATTTCTTAAGTTGTTTGTCAGATTTTATGGTCAATGTTACTCTAGTTTCAGCAGCATTCATTAGCAGATATGCAACAGGGTTGCCCCACATTCCCAGCTGAACTTGAAGTTTAAAGTTCACCCAATCAATCATCAGAGTGCTTCTGCATTAAGACCGTTCTCAAACAAGATGATGATTCATATTCAGGTCCCAAACCAACCACCATGGTAGCCAATATTCCATTTCAACTTTCCTTCAACTTTCCATTTCCTTAAATCTCCTCCTAATATATCTCAGCTGATATTTCACTTCTCTTAAGCGAGACTGTTGAATCTAACGCAAAATTCTACTTTCCGCGTTCAGCTCAGCAAATCACAAACTGACTGCTTCTGTCCAACCTGCTGAGTGACCCGTCTTACCTTCGCCACTTGGAGTGGCTTCTGATGTTCCACACCTCCCTGGAGACGAAACCCCCATGGCGCTCCACCGGACAATGTAATTATCACTTCCTCCGCAACCATTGTTCTTCTCTGTCAGTCTTTTTTTTTCTAAGCTTTTCTTCGTATTCTTGATTATTTTCCACTCCTCTTTGGTTTTTATATTTTGTCTGGGGGGCCCTCAGTGCATTGGCCCCATGGTCAGCGGTCAGGGCCCCCTCAGAGAGCTCTGACCTACTCTTTGCCTGCCACACTGTCTGGGTGCTGACTTCTCTCTGAGTCCAGCTCCAAGGCCGACGCTCACACCTGAACACACACACATGCACACACACACACTTCTGTACACCCACCCATACCCAGAGTGGGCCAACTATCATAGCCAAAGGAGGGAGAGAGGGAGAAGGGGAGAGAAATATGATGGGACGGGGGTCTGTGTCTGCTTACACTGAGGAATGCCTGCCCCAAATGAGTGAGGGGAGGGTCCAATGCAACACTTGTCCTGTCACTCAGACCTATGCCACTGGGTTGCTGATAGCCCCTCCAAAAATAGGACACCACCATCACCAACTCCGCTGCTTTGCCTGCTTCTCTGCAGACCAAGGGAAAGTTAACATTCAGAACATCCAAATGGCACTATTTCATTTCTGGCTTTACAGCACTGAGGTCATTAGTAACCTTTAGTAGGGTCACAGGCACACTCTCAGGACTGAGACTTTCCATGATAGGACATTCCAGTCATGATTAGTTACATTCAGATATCCTTTGATTTGCATGATGTAGACAATGAGTAGATTGATTTTGGTGCTGGTTAGGTTTAAACTGCTGAGGCTGCTGTGTGTCGTGTCAGGTCATCTCCATCTCGAGACATTCTAGGCTGTCATCACAGAGCCTTTAGGATAAATCCAAGCTCTGGATGAACAGACTGCATAGCTACATTGAAATATGTCCTAAGTTACAAATCCAAAGTGTTGACTGAATGAAAATTACTTTGAAACACAGAAAGGACCCATGCTTGATTGTATAAAAATGATATAAAGTGTCGACTTGGCACATTGAAACACCAGGAAAACATGCACATGTCAACTGTTTCTAGTTATCTAGACTTTGCTGATGAAAAATCACAGGGACATTATAATATCTGTCTTTGTAGGCCTGCCCTTTGTAGACATGCTAGGACCCAGCTAGTCCTGGATACTGTGGAGAGTCTGAAGAAAGACATTTAATACACAAACAAATCTACAGGCCAAACCAGTGGCATCGGTCGACATCAAACAGGAAGTTCACCCCAAAGAGCACGAGGTAAGAGGAATGACATATGCTTCAGTTTGATTTAATATGAGGTTATAAAATTTGAATGAGTAATATATTATGAGTAACAGTAATATATTGTAGATATAAATGATTTACAAACATGTATGATATAATACCAAAATTTTAAATTAGGACATTTTGTTGTGTCCCAAATTACCAAACCATGTTCTCAGAGCTGATGAGAAACCACAATGCGCATGTTGTGTGCATTTTCTGCAGACAACACCGACATTCTGCTGCCAGCAGACAGGTCTCCAGAAGCTTCTGTTTGTTGCAGTGTTTCTCAAAGGCATGGAAAAATGCAGCAACACCTCAGAATGCCCAGGCAGGGTGTAGGGGCAGTGAGATCTATCCTCTGGACCCAACTCGCATTGACAGGTCTCTGTTCACTCCAAGCCTGACTACTGATGGAGAAGAAAGTCTAGAGATTGACAACACTGTGACTGCAGAGAGGGAGAATGCTGTGAATGAGATGGTGACCCCTCAGCTGGACATCTCTCTGGCACTCAACCTGGACGTGCCAGCAGCAGTTGATCTAGATGTGTTTGCCACTTTCGACCCCACGGTGGCTCCTTCCACATCTACCCAGACTGCTGATATGATGCATGCCGATCCCAGCAACACAGTTGAGGTGAGGACGACCAGTTTTGATGATCTCATCACACTGCATACCCACAATCGCTCCTCCACCAGCAAGCCAAAAAGACCTAAGCCTCCTGCACCATTTCAAAAAAGAAATCAATGATCGGTTGATGATGTTGGTGAATTGATACATTGATTAATTTATATCTATTTTAATGCTGTTGGCTGATGAACTGATGAAAATATGACTCAATAGCCTAGCCTATAGGGCCTAACCCTACCTGTTAATATAATAATCCATTTAGCTATCATAAGACATCGTAACAGGCTAATAGAGTATCAGGTAACATTAGATATTTTTTAATTGTTAACAAGACAGAAGTATAGCTGAATTCACCCATACATGTGTTAATTTAAACTTAAAGCTCCCTCTAGTCTTGATCTAATGAAATCACTGAAAAAGTAGACCTAACAACTATCAGGCAAACTCAAACAACGCAATCTCCATTGCACACAGTCCCAGTGAGCATAAGTTTCCTTTGGGGCATTCACAGGCCTTTAAACCTGTTGATAGAGGCTGGATGATCCCCTTGCTAGTAAGGCAACACTGCTATTATCAATGTTGCAGGAGGTTACCAATGATAGCTGCTCCCTTTGGCAGCCTAGCTCTGCAGCTGTCTCCAGACCTCAGGATAGTAACCAAGATCAGTCCTGGGTCAGACACTCAAAAAAATGTCTCCCTCTCTTCCTGGAGACATTATCAGATCAAATAGTACACCATAGTTAAAACAAGTCCTCAACCACACACATACAACTGATCCAGTTTATATCAGATATCTGTACTGAAACAGGGAAAGTGAACTATTAGCTACATATCATGAACCATGTAGTTGTAGATCAGTTGTGCCAACCACTCCCCCTAGTGGTTAAAAGTAGGCTAGTTGTTGGCCCTGTGGAGCTGATTCTTCTCTGTTTACTGCTCAATAACGTTACTATTTTAGAGGAAAATTATTTTTATGGCTGAAAATAGCTAACATTATATTTGACTGATTTTAAAGTATTCTTCTTGTATTTTATTTTGAATGTTTCACTTTACACAGTAGGATGCACTTCATCCACCCTGCATGTCACTACATGCGCAGACCCTTTAATTAAAGTATTTTAGGAGATGCAGAAACCAGTTTGGACCAGTGTTTTAGCCATTCTAAAATATTAGGGTTATCTAAACAGTGAAAAGCTTACTAGAGTCAAGTGCTTTACAGCTGTCCCAGTATTGTTGGGAGAGACTTGAAAGACCCTGTGACTTTGTTAGCAGTCAGATAATTTCCAAGTAATCTTCACACAAACGCTGCGAGAGGAGTGAGAAATCTAAGAATAGAAAAAAGACATTTGTGATGTTCTGTGACAAACTTGTTCAGCTATACCAGCACAATGTGCTCTTTGCCGCTAGTGACTGTTTACTTGTCAAACTGAACAAAGACACTGCACTGCAGAAAGATGGGTTCAGTGGGCAGGCCCGCGAGGAGTCAGGGAGAAGTCACTCTGCCCAGGGCAGAAGTTGGATGTCTTTCAAGAAAAGTAAAAAGGTCAAAATCCATATGCAGCAGCATGGCTGCAGTGTTTTTCCTTTCTGCTGTGGCTCCATATGTTTTTATTCCATATGCTTTCTATTGTGACGTGGAAACAGAATGACTTGGCGATTGTTGCTTTAACTCAGGAAATAGAGGAAGCTGAGTGTTTTTTTCCTGCGGACATGGGTGAACTGTTAAGTGAGGCAACAGCTTCGTCCCTCTCATGTTCCCCCTGTTAATTAGTTTGTGTCTGCCTATCTCTCCTTTCAAGGGTTTCTCTCTCACTGTGTCATAGTTTGTCTTATTTTCCCCTCTTTTTCAACCATTTTACTGTGAAGAGCTTTAGACATTTTCGCTGTTCTCTCTTTGTCTCTCCTTTTTCTGTTTAATGACATCTCTGTTGGACAAATTGCCTTCCCAAGAAGACTTTGACAGACAGATTTGTAGAGTAGCAGCAGGCGGAGACCCAGTGCCCTTTAACTGAGGGTTCTGTGCCAGCATGGCCGACACTGCCAACCAGCCACTGCCAGCCCTGCCCCCCCTCCCACCAGCTTGGATGAGGTGAAAATGAGACTGCCATACAAAGAAACATGATGTAAACTGAGCTTTCTAAAAAGGGCAGTACACAAAGTGAACAGTGTTTAAATTTACAACATTTTAAACCTTCTAGTTTCATTTCTATGCAGGGAAATGCATGAAATATAACCTGTACAAACTGAAATTGTATTTGTAGAAGAAGCTAATTTGCACAGAGATAAAATATAGTACTCGACACCATACTGTACCTTTTTTGGGAAACACATTTTATATGACCCTTGAGAGTCTAACATTTTTAAAATGTCAAGTAAAAAGGTTGCTTTCCCCATCTAAGGAGGAATAATTCTGACATTTGATAATATATAATTAATAAGATTAAATTATTTTTTTCTAAGGTCCATCATTTGCAAGATTTCTTCTGGGGATTAATGATGTTATTTAAGCAGACTTTTGTTCAGAATCTAGCTTTATGTATGAATAATGTGTTTTGATTCTTCATTACACTGTCATGCCATTACCAGGATGCCTTTTTCTTTACTTTATGAGATGTGTGTCAACAAAAAGTTACCACTCTAATTTCAACCACTTGGATTTTCCTTCACACTGACAGACTCTCTCGTTCTGTGCCACCAGCCCGTTTCCCGCTCATACGCTGAACTCCTGACCCCGGTTTGTGACAGACTGTGCTGCATCTCTCCCAGGACTCCCACTGTCCTGGGGGGGATGAGTCCTGTGTCATCTTCTTCATGACACAGAGGCGGCATGGTGCCAGGTGACCCCTCATAACCTCTGTGTGCTGTCAGCAGTGAGTCAGAGACACATACACACACGCAAACTCACACCAAACAATGGTGCAGACCATCTGTCTGAAAATACGTTATACAACAGGTAACTCTAATCGATCTCTGATTGGTCAGTGACAAAACCAGACTGATAGTTCCCTTCACGGGTTACTGGGCTGTTTATTTTCTTGTGTTTGTTTAAGTGTACTTACATTCATATGAACTCATTCATACTCTACCACTCACTTTCAGGCTGTATAATCTGGAAACTAACCACTGCATAAACGAACAGTCATCCTTTATCAGTATTTGTGTATAAATGTTCTCAGTGACCCTTATCCTTCTTATCCAGTCCACTAAACTCATATTCAATTGTACAGTATCACTAAATACTCACTGATGAGGAAGAGTCTTTTCTTGAATCGATTATTTTGGAAAAGCCTAGTGGCCATCAGATCAGACAATGGTCGTATTTGGCAACATCAGTGTGTTGATTTGTGTGTAATTGTGTTTGTGGACAGGGCATTCTTGAAAAACACAGGACACGCCATCTTTGAGTGTTAGCATGCTAACATTTACCAATAAACACTAACTGTATAGTACAGCTTAGGCTGATAGGAATATCATTAGTTTTAATCATAAATCAAAGTATTGTGCTACAGTAAATGAAAAGTGGTGGGCCAACATTTATTAAAAATGCATCCTGTGGGGAGCATGAATGCCTGAATCAAATGTCATGGCAGTCCATGCAATAGTTGTAAAGACATGTCACTAAAAACCAAACATTATAATCTGTTTGTTTAAAATTAGATAACATGACATAAACAATTAACAGGGATAATAATTTGGCAGTTTCCCCTTTGAATGTACTATATATTTCTTCCTCTCTGATACTAATTAGTAGAATCACCATCTATAATGTTTGGATGGAAAGTAAATGTGCATGTTTGTGGGCCTCCATGCCATATTTTTGAGAAGAATGGCCCCTTACTGTTCCTCCTATATCAACTATGCTATCGATCTGCATGCATTATTCCTTTAATCCTCACGGTGGCACTCTTCACTGACAGTACCAACACAGTACACGCACACATACACACACTGAGCTTGTGTAATCCCTTTCATTTTTGATGAGTCAAAGCTAGCACTCACTCTCCTCGGGGGAAATGTCTGATAGGATGGAACAGCCAGGCCAAGGAGGTACTGTAAAGAGGAGGAGGAGGAGGAGGAGGAGGAAGAGGAAAAGTTTACCCAAAGTTTGTGAATTTGACATAAGGCCACTACCATCCTCAGTGTGGGAGGTTTGTTTGATGTGATGAGACTGAGTGCCCCCCCCACCCACACACCCTCTCAGCCTCATCTTGTCAATCCATCACTGAGTAAAGTGAGGAGAATAGGGAGTGGATTGAGTTTCTGCCGGCTGGAAGATGATCCTCGAGTATTTCAGGAGCAGCAGAGGCAGAGTCTCTGTCAGTGTCACCTTCAGGGCCGGTGGGAGTGACGATCTTTGTTCGATGTCTCAGAGCCCACGTCTGCCAGTTGTACTGATGTATTGAAGAGAGACAGACCAAACCTTAGATTGCATCGTCTGTGTGAGTCAAATTAATTTTCAAAACAAGTATAATGTATGTATATATGTATGAAGCTGGATGCTAAATGTACTTTGAAGGAATGCCTTTTTCCTCAATTTGGTGACAGCATGTTTTGATAAGAAATTATTACACACACACATGCACACACACACAGTGTTAGCTTTTAGTACTTATTCCAGTTGGTCCGTTGGTCAGTTGGTCCCCCACTTTGGTCCAGACTTGAATTTTGTTCAGGCATTTATCGTCCTCAGAGGATGAAGCCTACACACTTTGATGATCCCTTGACCACCATGAGGTTGACACTGTACTGATATATCTCCCCAACCAACTGTATGGATGGCCATTAAATTTGGTAAAAATGATGCCCATACATTGGACCCTCGAGACTTCAGTGATCCCTGACCTTTCCCTTTGCGCCACCAGCTGTTTGATAGCTTGGTTTGATAGTTTGGTAGCTTTTGCTAACTGAGCTATTTACACACCCAACATTTGAAGGGCAACATTAGCATCCATCTGAAGTCATGTTTTTGGCCAGCAGGTTTATGTTAGTCCAATAGTCATGCTCCTTTTAGCTCTAGTTTGGTCTCAAATAACTCCTGAGGGAAATATCTGGATGTTTATCTTCTAAATTCTCACCTAAAAACCAAAATAGGGAGGGGTTGTTTGCTAGGGTAAAGCAAAACGAGAATTACCTTAAAAATGCTTGTTTAGTGTTTTCAAATATTAGTGCAGACTTTAAGCTAGCTACTGTTATCGTTTAGCTAATTGGTAACTAAAACTGCGTAGCATGTGTTGGGCATAATGTCAGAGAAGTGTTGGCTGATTTTTATGTTATTTAGATTAACCACACTCCTATTATAACTTCATAAAGTTACCTTTATTGAACCTTGTCTTGCAGCACGCGTCAAACCAGCAGGAGGGGGCCTTTTTCACTGTTTTCTCTTGTCTACAGAGATAAAACCATTTGTTGCAAAAAATAATGTTAAAATTCAACCTACGACTGTGCCAAGGTTTCCAGTAACAGCTGGTAAAACTTCTCAGTTTAACCTTTTTATTAAAAAATGTTACCTGTTGTTGTTGTTCAGAGCCGTCAGCATACAAAGTTACCAGGTGCAGCTTTAGATAAAATCTTTTAGAAAGCCAGCCGGCCCAGAAAGCCAGGCTTGTGTTTTGAGTTAAGCAGGAATCCATAAGTATCAATGAGATCATTTCCCATCAGCCAGTACCGATCACCATCTACTGTACCATGAATACATCTGTGCATATGGTGGACTATTTGAAATACCAAAAAAAAAATCTCAGACGAGGGCTTTTTAATATAAAAATAAAAGTAGGGCTTTTTATTTTTATGTTGAATGATAGGCTTGAAAATGAATGTAATTTTAAGACACAAAGACATACACACACACACACACACACACACACACACACTTTAACTCTAGCTCAACAGAGTGAGTCACTTATTCGTCGTCATGAATAAATCACACCCACTGTTTCCCTCTTCTACTCTGCACCACTGCCTTTTCCAAAACACACACACATATACACACACACACACACACAGATTACTGTACAAATACACACTGGGCTGTAAGTTGCATTCTTTGCCCTACACAGACAATGTCCAATTTCCCCTTTGCACAGCATGTGCTTTTACATTGCTTTTTAAATGTTTATTTTAATTTCACTATGTAAATTTTTCTTTGCTTTTGTTTTACTTTTAAAATAAGGTTTTCATTGTTGTGGGCCTTTGACCTCTGCAGACACCACAGAACATCCAAAAGAAAACAAGAGAACACAGAGTTTTTGCTAATATCATCTTTTTGTGTCCCCTATACAGGCAGTTGAGGAAAGAGCACAATCCCTCGCTCTCTGTATTCCTCAAGAAGACATTTGTCACTTTCCATTTTTACAGCCTCCCTCCATGTCCTCCCCCCTCTTAGCAGTAAAACGGAGTTCATGTCGCCCTGCATTTCCCTGAGGCAAACTGATGGCTACACCCAGAGACCCAGACGTACATACACAGCAAGACAAAGTGACTGCTCCTTTTATGCCACTTTGTTTATGTTGTATTCTCTCATCTTAGACAGTGAAGCTTTCTTTTTCTCACATGCACATTATTGCTTTCTGTCTCACAGTTATGCATCTTTTTCCTTTCCATCCCCCCCCTCTTGTCACTTTTACTTCTCTTTTTTATTACCTTATATATTCCTTTTCATATGTTTCTATTTCCCACCAATTGTTTCATCTAATCCACCTCAGTTTATCACCCCCCCCCCAACTTGGTTAGCATCATTCTTACCTCATCGTTGTCTTTCCCTCTCCCACCATAGATCTCAATCTCTCCAGCATTTGCCTCACTCTCACTGTGGGCAAAAAGCCTGTGAAATTTCCCACAGGGTGAGACAACATGAGTTTCCTTCTACAACCTAGGAAATGGACTCGTATCTGAGGCATTGATTTCCTCTCAGCATTATGGGAAGGAGACAGCAGTGAGGTGAAGGCTAAGAGCCCTGTGGTCGATACGCATTCTCATCACAACACAGGATGTTCCTCCGTAGTTGGATTGGTTTCACTGTCCCAGCACGGGCGGTAATTGTCATCGGGTGACTCTATTAATTGAGCAGTATCATGCAATAAAAATAAAAAATGACAGGGATTATTTGATTTTCATTAGGGATTTACAGTATACTTATGCAGTACGGGAAATCAGTGGAAATATTAGCTGTAGCAATCGTAATAGCACTTTAATAGGAGTGGCAGTCAGAGAGAATAGCAGTCATTACAGCGTTAGTGACAGTAATTGTAATAACAGTGGTCATATCAGCGATAGTAGTAATACAGATTGATTCATTACAGATTGGCTTTAAACCGTTGCTTCTGCTACAGTAAGTTACAATTTACATGGCTTCTTATTACCTTTCGTGGTTTCTAGCTACTTTCACTCTCCAAGTTTTGATAGATTTCCTCTGCCACCTGAATACAATGGAGGTCAAAGGAACATTTGTTTCTGTTGAAGAAATAGTCCCTATGAAAACAGCTACAGTGAGGACTGTGGATCTTCCAGAGCAGCACATTTTCTGTTGGAGCCCTCATAGGAAACAAACACAATGAGCCAAGTTAAATTTTTTTTTGAAAAAATATTATTTCTGTTGCAAATCAAAAATTTTTACACACAAAAGACGGGGAATTTTGAGAGCAGCACAGGTCTCTTAGTGTTTCATTTGGTGCATGCATTTGCACGAGCATCACCTGTTGAACTTTTTCTTGCCAAAACTCGGCCCGTTTTTTCTTTCTGTATAAATCTTGCTAACGTCAATCATGATGACCTTGCTGCTATCAAAGCACTCCTGTTTCTTTATTGTTTTCTAGTGTGTGTGTGTGTGTGTGTGTGTGTGTGTGTGTGTGTGTGTGTGTGTGTGTATGTGTATGTGTATTTGAGTTGCTCAGATCTTCCCAGCCACTGTATGAGGCGCCTGGAAGTACCTAGGAATGTAGCAAGGTACTGCAAAGAGGGAAGCCTCTCTCAGTCTCTCTCTGTCTCTCACACACACACATACACCCCTTTTCTAATGTCTTGCCCATCTTAGAGACAGCAGTTTTTCTCCACCCACCACAGCAGCTGGCACCAGCTCAGCCCCATCTCACAAAACCAAGAATAATCCCCAGAAAAAGATGACAACTCAGACTTAATGGACAGATAAGGCTTTTGGACGAGCTCCTCAGATGCACAGATCTGCCCATTTTTCTGCAGGAGTGGTCCGGCCTGAGATTTATTGACTGCAGACATAGCAGAACAGAAAATACAGACTTCTGTAGATATTAGCTACAGAGGTTTTTCTGGAGATGACGGGAAGAATCTGCTCGGAGTGTTTCCTGGTGATTGCCTTGACCTTGCTCAGCGGCCTTGGCTGCCTGAGTGAAGTATTGTCTTCAAATGAAGGCGTCGGCGTCGAAGAGGTGGAAGGGCCCAGACCTCCTCACCTTATCTTTATCATGGTGGATGACCAGGGTTACGGAGACATTGGCTACCACGGCTCAGACATCCGCACTCCTGTGTTGGACCAGCTGGCAGCAGAGGGGGTCAAACTTGAAAATTATTATGTCCAGCCTATCTGCTCACCCTCTCGCAGTCAACTCATGACAGGGCGGTGAGTAATTTCCTCATCATTACATCATTATTCTGATGGGATAATCATTCAGTTACTGCAGCAGTTCTCATATAATGTAATTATGCATAATAAAGATAGGCTTTTTGTCTTTTGGTAACATGAAGAGTGTTGGGGTAACATCCATCCAAGGCCAGAAAAGAAATAAAATTATACTGTTGTTCCTCCTGTAATGCTAAGATCAACCACTAGATTATTCATCTTATCTAATCACCGGAACAAAATGTGCTTGTATTTTAAGTTATGGATGGGTAAAAAAAGAAGCAGTAATCAAACAAGCATTATTTTCATTCTAAATCCTGTTTTACTGGAATAAAATCCTGTTTTGAAACTTTTTATCATGATCATGACAGAAGCAGAACGTATCTGTATTATTGACTTTCTGTCTTCTGGCAGAAATTTTGCAGACACAAAGTTGGTAAAATGAAAAACTCAAATTAGAGCTCAAAATAATTCTTTAAAATCACTGAACATTTTGGCTCGATGATGAGTAATACTGTGAGAGCAACCAAGGGTGCAATATTTCTTAAACCATCTGTGAAAATTCCAGTTATTGTGTTGTTATGTAGATCTTATCAAGACACGTCTTTTTTCACTTCTCTTCTCACACTCTCCCGATCGTGCCAGCTACCAAATTCACACTGGACTCCAGCATTCAATCATCCGACCACGTCAGCCCCTCTGCCTCCCCCCTCACATTCCCACCCTACCAGAGCGTCTGGTTGAGGCGGGATACGCCACCCACATGGTGGGTAAATGGCACCTGGGCTTCTGCAGGACAAGCTGCCTCCCCACAGGGCGTGGCTTTCAGAGTTTCCTGGGCACATTGACTGGCAGTGGAGACCACTTCTCCTATCAGAGCTGTGATGGGGCTGAAGCCTGTGGGTTTGACCTGCATGACGGAGATAGGCCTGCCTGGGAGATGACCGGCAACTACTCCACTTTGCTTTACATAGACAGGTGAGGATAAATTAAATTGAACAGATTCATATATTAAGAGAAACAAACTTAAAAGTCTTTTAAAAACCTTTCAATGTTCCCTCTGTCCAACCAGAGTGAAGCAGATCCTGAGGAGCCACGATCCCCATAAACCCCTCTTCCTGTACGTGTCCCTTCAGGCCGCACACACACCCTTGCAGGTACCAGATAACTTTCTGCACCACTATGATTCCCAGGGCAATCGTCTCAGGCGCCACTACGCAGCCATGCTGAGCTGCCTGGATAACGGGGTTGGAGAAGTGGTTCAGGAACTGAAGACTAGTGGGCTCTATCAAAACTCAGTACTGATCTACTCAGCTGATAACGGTGGGCAGCCGCTCTCTGGAGGGAGTAACTGGCCGCTGAGAGGTGGCAAGGGGACCTACTGGGAAGGGGGCATCCGGGCTGTAGGCTTTGTCCACAGTCCCCTCCTGAAGAAGAAGAGCGTAGTCAGCAGAGCACTGATCCATGTGTCTGACTGGTATCCCACATTATTGGGGCTGGCCGGGGCCCTGGAGTCCCACCGTGGCCTTGACGGTCACAATGTGTGGGGCACTATCAGTGAGGGCCTACCCTGTCCTCGTACTGAAATCCTTTTCAACATTGACCCAGTCTCCAGGAAGCCCGGAGAGCCATATCACAAGGCGTTGGTACTCAACGGGTTTGGGATCTGGGACACAGCTGTGAGGGCTGCGATAAGGGCTGGAGACTGGAAGCTACTGACAGGAAATGTAGGGGACGGGGACTGGATACCACCACAGGCTCTTCCCGTTGGTCCAGAACGGTGGCAGAAACTCGAGAAGCGGCGCAATGAGCTGGGGAAGTCAGTTTGGCTGTTTAACGTCACCTCCGACCCCTACGAGAGGTCAGACCTGGCTGAAGCTCGTCCAGAGGTAGTAAAACATCTGCTGACCAGGCTGGCGGAGTACAACCAGACAGCTGTGACGGCCAGGAATCCACCTGATGACCCTATGGCTGACCCTGAGCTCCATGGTGGGGTGTGGGGCCCCTGGCTCGGCTTGGATGGACAAGAGGAGAATAGTGTAGAGGTGGATGGCAGGAAAGAAAAGATGATGAAGATTAAGCACTGCAAACTATGCAAATTAAAAGCCCTTTTCAAGAAGGTGGGTTCACGTCTAGAGAGGAACACACTGTTCTACTAGATATGTCATCTGGCAACATTAACTGGACTGAAAGGTGTCAGTATGCTTCAAATAAACTAGGTTGTGTCATCTGAACACATCTGAAGGCAAGTCTTAATACCTGTTAGGAATGATCACACTCAAAGGCGGAGCTGAATACTTTTTTATCAAAGAGAGGTGAGATGCAATGTATTATTCAGATGGGTATGCAGTTTGAAGACAGTCTCTCCTAAAAGGTATTCATAGTGTTGCCCTTTATTTTACACATAAAAAGTGACACAAGTAATTGTGTGAATTAGTTGTGTGAAGAATGAAAGAAGAGAGCTAGAGAGAGAAGTTCAAATTATTCTTACTTTCTCACCTCCAGACATCTGGTCATGCGTGAAGTTGGCATGTTTGTCGTATCATTGGTTTAAAACTTTTTGGGGATAGGAGGTTCCAGACACTGTTCAATGATCTGAAAAGGACTTTACTTAAAGCATACTGACACCTGAACCATGAGGAAGTGGAAGGGAAAGAGAGATGGAGGCAAAGTAAAATACAGACCAGCGGATGACCGAGCAGGTCAGATAGACAAGATAGACCCACAATCAAATCCTGAAGGTCGGCAGATAAACAGGCAGCCTGATAGACAAAGCAGACAGCGCTGTGCGGCCGGCTGAGCGAGCTGACTCATTCACTGTCCTGCGGCCAAACTGCAGCAGGGTGACTTTGGTCCATCGTTGGCCTGCATAGGGAGCAATGTGTGTGTCATCACGCATGTTTGCCTGTGTTCGTGAATGGTTTGATTAATACAGATAGAGATAGAGTGCGCACATGTGGAAGTGAGGCCTGAAGAGAGGGGAAGAGGAAGAAAGTCACGGAGGGTGACCTCTCCGTGTCTCCTGTCCTAATCATCCTAGAGGACTCTTAAAGGATGACATAAAGACACCCACGGCGGTTGTGTTTGTCAAATGTCACCGTGTTCTTTTGTTCTTAAGGGTTATATAGAGTCACTTCTGCTCATACTGTGGCTCACTCCTCTGCCTTTGAAAGACCTCTGACTACCACACAGTGTCCAGTCCCTGCAGCAGTGACTAACCAACAAAAGCTCAGTAGCTGTAGCAGTAGGTCTTTTCTGGACTGATGGTATCGAATGTAAACTTATCTACTGTGTTGTAAAATGGAATCTGATTGAAAGGATCTAAATAAAATCATAAATGCAAAAACTCAGTGGTAACATCTTATGACTGCACAACATCTGTACAGAAAAGTCATGGACCAAACCTGTTGGCATCAGCTTTATTTTACAGGTCTGGAATTTAATTTTTAAGTTGTTTCTCAGAAAAAACCATGTAATTTGCTGCTGATTATAGGGACATAGAGTGTTTAATTGGTACATTTGCACCTAATTAATTTAAAATAATTGCTGGTGTAACTGAAATACATGCAAAAGAAGGGAAATTTGTCTACAGGCATACACGCATACAGTTCAACATATGTTGAGATAACATTTCCAATAATAAATGAAAAAGAAATTAACATTTACATGAGCTTCACTTTTCTTGTATGTAAATTCCAATTTTCCCTATAATTAATACCAAATCACACCAGTCAGTAATTTCTTAGTAAAGCCTTACACCGACACCACTCTCTGTCTTTATGATGGATCTTTTTCCAAAGGATATTTTTCACAGCCGTTCCATATAATGATGGGGTACTTGTTATGCTACACCTGTAAAATACAAAAATGTACCTCTGTATTACATTCAACCACAACGTCTTTAAAACCCTCACATTTTTGGATTATCTACGAATGGCAACGACAGTATGGTTACAGTAAGGGGAAGACTGTGGTTATGGCAGATAAAATATGGTAAAGGAATAGTTGTGGTCTTTTGTAGCTCCAGAGGGAGCTGCACGAAAATCTGATATAAATAACTCAAGTGATGTCACTGGAGAGAAGGACACACTACTTCCTGAGCTGGCGCTGAACATTGGCAAAAGACCTAAAGCATGAGGTGCAGCACCATCTAGTATGGATGTAATTCCTGGGGATACTGTGCCTGGGAAGAATTAGTTTGGGCTCATGCTGTCTGATTAGGTGTGATGCTGATGTAACTTGATAGGAACGGATCAGTGAACAGCTTCAGCATTGTTGAGTGTGGATGTAGAAGTCTTTTAGTGTCACACAGTAGCAAAAAGACAGTAGATTTCTCCCCAGTGGCCTGATAATGAATATTCAACTGTCTTCCTTCACCATTTCTTCCCCTTCTGGTCAACTCTCACGTTTGCCTCCTCCTCTTCCTCCTCCTCCTCCTCCTCCTCCTCCTCCCTCTCTGTCACCCTCTCTCCCTCCAGTTATCCCTCAGCTCCTTGCTCATTCCCTCTGCAAAACCACCCCCCTCTCCCTCGTCTTTCTTTCTCATTTTGTTCCTCATCCCACTCACTTGTTTGTGCTCATTTGAAAGATCGAGTTAGAAGTATTAGCCGTGTTTTGCTCAGAGCTCTGTGGTGTACAGTGGAATCAAAAGAGTGGAGGAGGGAAGAGAGAGTTCCCCAGGGGCTGCAGGGGGCTGTCATGTCTGAAGTGCTTGTAGATCAGATTAAAATGTCTTGTTTAGTGAAAAAGCGTCAGTGCATACATAACACACGTCAGCTAGTTATAGTGAGGATAAAATGAAACTTGGAAAATCCTCATGTTTACAGGATGAGGCTGCAGGTATTCTATATTTTGTTAACAAATCCCATTAAAAGGCCAAAATCAATAATGCTTTACTTTGTCATAATAATTTTTGACTTCCTTACGCTGTCTGTGTCTCCACTCGTTTCTACTGAAGATATAAATCTTAAAACATGGGTCACAAATAGTATAGTTTTCAAAAAAAGGTTAAATAATTTCCTACACCACCTGGGCACTGTAGCTTTTAGCTTTTATTAATGTAGGATTCAATAGCCATTCACAAAGAGATGTTTAGCAAAGACTCTGAGTCTGCAAGGACGTGTGTACCTGAGTGCATTGGTGCAAGATAACAGCTTAAGTATTATTAATGAGTACGGTGCATACAGTAGGAAGTGGACAAAACAGACACATGACATCAGAAGCTGCTGCCGATTTACTGACTCCCAATTACAAATGCAGCAACTCAAGTGTCTCATGAATCATGTACACTTAGTTCAGGTTGGAGGATTTGTTGACTTGAGTTTTTTTCCAGCTGTCTTTTAGGAAGGGAAACTTTTTTCTGGCAGATTTTATTAGAAAGCCCTGGGAGGGGAGACAAAGGCCTTGTTTGTAATGCAATGTTATATGTATAATAAGCAGCTGTTTCACCACTGGTGTCTTATAACTCCATGAGGTGTGTCCATATGACACAAGTGAATCAGTATAAACTGTTCTTGTGTGTTTTTTCCCCGATGGTAACAAGCTAAATGCTCTCAGAGCAGGGGCGTCCCTCTCTATCCTCAACAATCTCTTGAAGACTCATCTTTTCCAAGAGCACTCCTTCTCCTAACACCTTTAACACCATGACATGCCTAACCAGCACTTACAATGCACTTTCGGTGCACTTCTTTACTTGATCTCCTTGCACTTATTAAACAGATGTAGTACTTACACGAAGCTCTCTGCATTGAGCTTTAGTTTTGTCCCATGCTTGTGTGAGTGTGAGAAATGAGTAAATGTAATATAAATGTAATTTGGTCAAGTCTGTCAAATAGCTGTGAGGCTTCAGCCCTTCCAATTAGTTTAATCCATGGATATCTGTCAGAGTTGAGGCCTTTTAACTATAAAATTCCCCCCTTTTGTTGCTGTTTGTTTACTACAGCTCAACAGGGAAATGCAAAGAGGCAATTTTATACTAAAAAGACATAACTTTGGAAGATATCCACTTGATTTGATCAACTTAGGGACCTTAGTGAAACTTTAGATAAACCTTTGAATTCATTTGTGAACAGAACAAGAACTGAACTTTGTCCCTCCATCTCTCAGATTGAAATCTTTCTTTGGTCTGTATGAACAGGGGGCGTTATCACAGTGAGACATAACATTCTGGCAACTGAAAAGGGGAAACGCAAGGCTATAAATACACAGGGAGCTAATTAACTAATGAGACATAGGTGTAACAGAAAAATGGCGGGAAAAAACACCCACAAAGAACAGAAGTGAAATCAAAACAGAAACATAGGGAACGTAATTTCAAAGTAAAACAGGAAGTTCACATGAAGGGTCAGATCGTGACAGTTTCAACATTTATATGGGCACCTGACTATTGTTTTAAGACACACAGCTGTAGACTCTTATCTTGTAAATGAAGTAGTTGCAATAGAGAAAGAAAAAAAAAAATACAGAGCAGCCAGTCAGAGACTCGTTCTTTCGTTTTGCTAAATCAAAATATTTTCTGTGACCAGTCTTTATGAGAAATACTGGAAATCTAACAACCAGGGGCTTTTTTATTCTCAACGAATATCCATCTGCACAGTTCATGGCTTGTACGACATCCCTCCAAGGAGCATTGAAGCTGAAGGCACTTTGTTCACCTCTGGTATACGTGCAGGCACAAAGAAAACCTCACACCATCCAAACTAGACTCCCGTGATGAAATTAGATGAGACTGCTTCGGGTTAACAGTAGCAATGTTGCTCAGACACCTTCAGAGTCTCATACATGTGAGGAACTGGTGAAGACAATGGTTAGATGCCCACACATCTGATTCCCAGTACACTGCGATGGCCCGCAGAAATAAGGCACCGTCAGATGATATAAATCACGGAGGAGGTGTCACACAAACACACACACATGAACACACAGTGCTATCCAGTATGTGGGAGGGAGCTGTCATATCCACTGTTGGATAATCATCTGAAGGTAAGGCTAACTTCACATCTGAAGATTCTTTGGTGAAGTCGTGATGTTAAACACAATAGGCTCATGACACTGTTTCAAATATAACTTTTTTTATTTTCTTGTGATGGACACTGTTCTGTTCTACCAACTGTTCCACACTGAAAGTGAATACAGCACTTTCTCAACGCTCACTCAGTGA